CGTTTCAGACTCAACCTACAACCAGAGCATATACGAATATTGCTTAGGCATCTTTTAGCTGCTTTTTCGTAAAAAAATCATACAAATGCATCTAATTTTTTTTTAAAAAACCATTTCTGTCGGAATGTCGAGAAGCCATCTAGCGGCCACATTTGAAACTAACAAAACCTCAAATATTATTACATTTGTAGCCCAAGAATGAATATTTTCAACTAGCCCAAGTTTGTTAAAATCGGCTCACCCGTTTCGAAGATACATGGCGTTTTATCCGGAAACATTTGAATATCCCCACCACAGAGAGAAACATCACTGTTTTAGATTCAAGATTGCAGTTGCCTCCTAGCGGCTATTTAAGAAACTTGAAAATATTTTCCAGGTTTTTCTGTTGGCCGTTTTAGTAATAACTGTTTTTCCCGCAAGTCTCTACGATGGATGGGTTCGCAGATACATTAAATTTGTGTTACTAATAATATTCAAAGCCCATTGTTCACAAACTGAAGATACGTCATTTTGAAACGTCTTTGCTTTTCTTGTCGTTGTTGCTTGAATAACCCACCACTGCACAGTACACAATAGTTGAATGTTTAACTCACTGTTTTTCAATTATATTTCATACAGGCACGTATTTGAAATACATCAGATAACAAACTAATGAAGCTAATCACAAATTACGCGCTGAAGCGCCATTTGAAACTGTCCGTTTGACATCTCAAGAGATTTTTGTCATCGAGTGACGCCTCGCGTACTACTGAGTCAGACTGATCACATGCGCGTGGGTTTATCTTCTCGAGTAACAGTATCATGGCTAACACTCACTACAGGGTGCTAGTGAACGCAGTCATTGTTATTGTTTAATTTTACTTAGAAATACATTTCCATATTTAAGTGTACAGACTCTGTATAGATTCGGGTCTCATTTACACCCCGTCAAAATAAGCATGAGCACTTATAGTAATTGGCGCTTCTATTCGTTTACCGCTGTAATTCCCAGGCATTTATGCAGCGCTGGTGATTGGGATTTGAATACATAATATTTTTGACTTGTGACTATGCTGATATAAGGTATAACCGATAGTACATGGGCGTATTGAAGAAAATGGCCGATGATGCTATCTTTTTGTTACTTAATTTTAATGTACAAATTCTTTGATATTGCTCGAAAAGAATCTCCAAAATTTTTTAGAACCAATTAGACGTAAGAATGTGATACAAATAATTAAATTCAATTATGAAATTCATTGAAGTTTGTTACAGTATGATTATTATGAGAACAGAAAATACTAAAATTAGAACACATGCAGCTAGTTACAATGTGGACTTTAGTTTGTATATCCTCTTAAGAGCGAATAGTATAATATTATGCAGTTCTATCGAAATATTACGCATTCGTTATACATGTAAGTCGTTTTCATTGCTATAAATACTTTTCCCAGATATTAAGTGTTTGCACAAGATAACATACTGTCGAATCTAATAAGAAAAATAGATAATGTTTATGGAGTAAATAGCACTTGTTATTGCGTAATATAAAAACAGATACATTCTTTATAATCATTAAAACTCTGTTCAAAATTATCCTTGATCTATCTGTAGGATAAAAAATTTTCAAATGGCATTTACACCGCATCAAAACAAATATAAACTTCCCATCATCAAATGCCGTTGCTACTATTGACTAGACTGCTAGGTAGGAAAAGCCAATAGGATCGCAATATTTCGGATATCGAGCGTCAGTGCTTGTTGTGACGTGGCGTGAATGCCATTTAAATAGAGTTATTTAGGTGAAACTTTCAGAAGATACATTGCATTGAGTACTCACAACCGGGAATTTCAATCTTAATTTAACCGTTTTCTTCCACCAAGCAAGGTGGCTGTTGCTACTGTCGTGTTTATGTAGTCCGTGGTAGATTGTGCTACCGTCGTTTGTTGACTCAATCGATTACAAGCAATGTTACAAATAGTTCATACACCTATTAATTGTCTGTCTACACTGAGTCTACATGCGTATGGATTTATCTGCTTTTTCCACTGGATCTAGATATTTACTCAGGAATTGAGAATTAAGCTCATATCTATCTGAAAACAAAAAAATCATTGTTGATTTATTAATCCTTTGAAACAATCTTTCGCAAAGCGAAAACAAAGATTTGTCATTACGCCCTTGTGGTCTAAATGTATCAAAATATCAGGAGCACGGTTATGCAAAAGTTTAGAGAATGACGACAAGTAGGCTGACTCGGCACTTCCCACGCAACGCTATCATCAGTTCATAAAGCATAATCTTCGACCCAAGTTAGTTCCTTTGTGCTACAAACATGTATAACAAAAAAACTAAATGGGTCAAGTCAGCCAAACAGGCCCATATACAATTAACGCTAGTTTCTTCCCTGCCATAAGTATCGACGCTGCTGAACTACACCAGTCAAACACGTCATAAGCGCCAGCTTGTAGTAACGTCAGCAATGCCAGCAATGCTGTCAGGTGCAACGTGGAGTTCGGCGAATAAAAGTCGCCGTTGCATTTTTAAAAAAATAGGGGTAACAGTGGGAAGGTATCACATTCTATTGATGGGTCTTTGCACAGTGATTTAGTGGTTACCTTCATGTTATTTTATTTTGTACTTTTTATTAATGCCAATACTGTAATATTTTCAAGTACCAATCGTCTTACCTCTTAATCAGTTTGGCAGACTTTTATCGGCTTAAGACGTTTGTATGAAAAAAGCGCGTCCTTCCAAGATAGGTATATCATAATCCAGTAACACTACAATTACTACAGATAACAGTTTTCCTGCTTTGATCAGACTACCAATCTCAGTCATAGTAACCAGTGCGTAATGGAAATGTAATGAATTTAGGTATATTTCTTTGTATATTTCCTATTTTCAAGCCAGGCATCGTTCTTAAGGGTCAAAGTGCCAGTAACCGCATGGAAATATTTGCTCATAAACATTTTATTGGTCGATGTTTCTGAATATATATAAGAAAACGTAGCGTGAGGCTCACGGGCACAAAATCCAATAAGCAAGTGCTGTTTGAATTCTGGATCGGGCCGCGATATCGGATATGCATTTTTATTGCCACTGATGGAGCGAAGTGCCGCAATTTTCCGCAAACTAATGGCTCAGTCGCATGATACTGCCAATTCTGCAAGGTGGGGCCGACACGCACCGGCCAATCGCGCTGTTACTCGGTCTTCTTGACATAGCTGACTCACTGAAGAGTTAAACGTCCTTGAGTGTATCTTTACAGACATTTTCTCACTGGCTGGACAATCTTTCTTTCAGATAAATCAACGAACCGAAGAATCACATTACTCAGTACCTACCTCACATTCGAAGTCTGATGAAAAATGAAAAAGAATGTATATGACGCACTAAATTTTAGAGCACCCTTAAATGAAACTTTCATAGTGGATATGGTAGCCAACACGCTACTGCTTACGTGTACGTCAAAATTTTTTTAGCTATCAGCACTAGCAAACGTCAAAAGTTTAGGGTCCTCCAAATATTTTTTGGACTACGCCTTAAAGGTAAAACAGGCTTAAGACTTCAGTATAAATGACTTCAAATGGACCCTAATTTTTATATTTTTATGGCTTCAATTCTATAATAATTTTTAGACCAATAAAAATATTTTTGTGCGGTCAAAATAAGAAAACACTTCCAAACTTCACCTTTCACCGTTCTCTGTTTCTGATTGCTGATTTTTTATTGTGCCATAGCTTCAGGGGCAACTTTTGATGATGTCGAAAATTGAACTGAAAATTGAGGATTAGGGGGGGGGGTTGTGGTTGGCAGTGCTTATCAGAGCGACTTGAGGGTCGGGGTGAGTCATAAACATATTAGTAGACAAACTTGATTTGTCTAGGAGGGGAGATATTCTCGTGAGGGACTTATATTTCCCAAAAATGTATAGCATGTAATATCATATAGTGCTTTCCAAAAAGGTCCCCCCTCCTACTTGTTTTTTGAATGGGTCAAATAAGCAAACTGAACTTCGAGGTCCAAGTGGCAGTTGGAAATTCCAAGATTGTGGTTGAAAAATGAAAAAGGTCTTATAATAACTCATATTGAAGCTCCTTATGGGCATTCAGTTTCTCATAACCCAACAACCAATCGCTTCCTCTTCTTGTTTTCTTGGAAAGGTCTATTTGAATGTGCAATAAAATATGGAAAATTCCACTTAAAACATTTTCCAAAATCTGACAATTTCTTTTTATTTCATTCAGGTAGACCCCTACCGAAAAAAAACTGCTATTTTTCCGTTAAAATATAATATTCACGCATCAATTTCATCGTGCAAAATTTCAGCTTGTTAATTTGACCGGTTCAAAGATTATATAGGTAGGGGGGGCCTTTTTTGACAAACACAGTATAAGGAAACACGTATTAGGCTGTCGGGTTTTGAAACCAGCTTGAGCCTAAAGCCCTCTTACCGCTGAATACACCAGTGAACGGTGCTGCTGGCAAAACATGAAAACAAAATTTAAATCGCTCAATTTTGGACTTTTAGGCCCGTATCGTCAGTCGTCCCTACAATTGTAGGGCCCGTTTATGGCCTCCTTGATTGTCATACTTCTTTCTCTCCTTCAAACATTTCTAGATTACACTTGTCCCGTATCAGCGTCAGCGCTTTCCTATTGTGAAGATATGTCTTCTTTTTAAATTGTAGGAAATTTCAGGCTGATAAAACATGATATAACTCAAAAGCAAGCACAATTTGATGCAAATAGATATTTGTGACATAACCTCAAAATAGAGCGCTTACACGCAGATGTAGAAAACTATGACAATCAAGGAGGCCATAAAGGCGCCCTACAATTGTAGGGACGACTGACGATACGGGCCTTAGAGACGTCTTCCCAGTTTTGAGATTTTCTTGAGGGGTTCTTCAACGCTGGATACATTGTTGACCAATGGTGTTAATTAACATAATTCGCTTGAAAAATAATCATACATGTTGGAGAACATTAGTTAGCTAAAGGTATTCGTGGCGGTGTGGATCAGCGTTCGATGTAAGAATTTGTGCGGCACTTAATCTCTCATGAATTCTTGTCTGTGTTGCGTACGAGGTACAGAGTCAACGTACTTGACACCACTTTTCCTTTTCTTCAGGTAATGGAGTACCCGTAGCCTCTATATCCATACTCTCCCTGGCTGGAAGGTAAACTGTTAGCTGTTCAGAGGCGGAGGCCGGGATTGCCGTTTGTTGAAGGGTGGCGGATGTTGATGCGGATGCGCATGCGCGTGTCAGCCCGTCGTCTGTTCCTCACAGTGGCATGCGCGTGCGTAGTGACGCTTTTTGTGTCGCTGGAACGACGTTACGCCTGGCTCAGGGCGAAGTACGACCTTTTCGAACCGGAAGCAGATGGAAGGGAAAGGGAGGAGGCTATGCTGGAGGGAGATGCGGAAGCGTCGCCGGAAGCGGGAGTCAGGAGCGGGGGGAATGGGGGCACCTATCAGGTAATATTATTTATGAACAATATGTTGGGAGAATGCTAAGAAATAACGAAACAATGCTCACTGAGATATTTTCATTTCATCCATCAATGATTTCGATCAATAAATAGAAATTAGATGTAACTCAAGACTTGCCTTGTTGCCACGAATTTTTTGTTTCCTTGGATCAAGCCTCAGTCACTCTGGTTATGATTCTTTATGAGAGCTTTACTTAATGTTTATCTACATTCTCCATTTTTTCATAAAATTGTTTATAGCAAAGGATAAATTCTGATTTGTCTTGTTTACAGCCAAAAAGATCTAAAGTAGATCAAGCTGAAAGTTACATTTGAATTATATATTTATTTAATTATTAAATGTACTTATTGCAGGACGACCCAGAGCAAACTTTGCAGCCACCGCCTGGTAAGCCTTGGTTCATGACTGGAGGCACCGAATATCCTACGAACTATAAAGGGCCTCCAAGGCTGTTCCCAGATGAAGCTGACGGAGATAGAATAGTCGATCAGCTTATGTATGTCCCAGAAGATTACCAAGGTAACGATTATAGTGAAACTTCCGCTATATGATGCTAGGGTGGCGCAAAATAGACATTATTTTTTTCAATGACATACTAATGTAACGTTATCGTTTTTTATGTACCTTTAGCTCTTGTTGAATTTAGTAGAGAAGGCTTGGGAAATTTGATATGGAATGGTACACTACTAGGCAACAAATCAAAATAATTGAATTATTCTTAAGGTCAACTTGTTTTTCCGAGTTACTCCAATTTGAGAGCACTCCACTACCAAGAACAGACATTAGATATTTTTATTAAACCCGTAGATAGGTCAAGTCAGGTACATAGAAATTACAATATAATATATATGAACAGAAGACAACGGATTTACAATGCATTTGGCAAACGACACGAAAGTATGGACAGAATAAAATACAAATCACAGAGGTTACATATCCAAAAGATGCATTTTGTGAAAGCAATAAATAATTCATGAAGAGCAGTCAATTAGCCTGTGCTCTTTACTGACGTCTAAAATTTCTGCAAGAAGGTTGAAGAGGCAACATCTAGCATTATTAGGTGATTTCATAAAGTAGCTGTTATTGAACTTCTCTGAACATATTTCAGTTTTGAGTCTCGTTTCATAAGTATCGTGAAAGCCATCGATGAGGTATTTTTCTCTATTGCGATGTATATGGGACTATAGTTTTTAAAGATTTATTGCTGTTACAGTTTTTAAACACTTCTCGATAGGAATCATTACAATTAGACTGATTATAAACCTCAGTATCTTTTTGGATGTATAAATACTCTTGATGTCTCTGCTGACCGTTTCCCAACCACAATGTTATATACAATAGGATAGAATAGATTACACAAAAGCATAGTATACTGTCAACAGTTACTTACAATCGATTTTGTTTTTTTAATGTGCTTAATACAAAAAGCTTTATTTAATTTTTTAGAGATTGACTCAATTTCTTGATCTCCTGTAAAGTAGCATTCATCTTGAAAGGAGAACTTTTTTAGTTCTTGTATTAAAATGCGTAATGTATGATTTCTGAATATTTAGCATAAGCTCGTTTTTGTTACACCAATCCTGTATGCCATGTATTAGAAGTTTGGTTCTCAACTTCATCCTCTGAATCATCACCAACAAGAGCTGTTGTGTCATCTGCGTATAAAAGAATATTTACATTACTTATATGTTTTGCTAAGTCAATGATGAGTGGGTTAAGCACACTCCCTCGTGGTGTACCAAGGTCCAAATTAAATCTATCCGAACGGGTAGTCTATCTAGTTCCAAATTGTTGGCAAAGAAGGACAGTATATAACATTCGTGGTGATGCAAGACGATGCACAATACTAAAAAGATGTCCAGCCTCCATTGCTGGGGATGAAAATCGAATTTTGCTCCAACTTTTCCTAACAAGAGCCTAGGAAACCTGTGGTTTAAAGAAGGGAGTGGTGAACGGCTCTGTTAGGAGACGGTTTAGGTCCACATTGGCATATAAGTTCAATTCTGTACAAATCTAAGTCGAGATTGAGCTCTAAATCTCTATCAGTTCAACATACCGAAAAAACAATAATTTTTTCCAGTTGTTTCATACCTATAACTCGTATAATGAATTTCTTCAATAGTCTTTCTACGAGTATTAAATATCAGCACGCTGCGGAGCATTTTATACTCACCAAAATCAATTTATCTAGATGAGTGTTCAAAGGCTATGGTCAAGTACCTAAACTTTGCCAGCAGTTTCAAGAAGGTTGCCACTTATAGTTCAAGTGATACATATTGTATCAGGTTGACACTACAGAAGCTTCAAAGTTAAAATCCACTCACTTTGTGGCTGTTTGAACGTTCTTCATTGGGAGTATCTTTTTAAAGTCCGGTTTCACTTATCGAAGATGCAATTTATCCTTTATCTCACGTGCAGGCGTGACTGAATATGTGATCGTATGTACAATGTTTTGCTTTTTTTGAAAGTATTTTTTGAATCTGCATCATAATGAAAGATGAGCTTGGAGTTTGTTGACATAATAAGGCTTGTCGAACTTCATATCGTTTTTATGACCCGTAGAAACTCCTTTGATTACTATTAATTAAAGTGATGAGCGGTCATATACAGGGTGTCCCAGAAATAACATGCCAGAGTGGCACGGGAGGTAGCCTGGCTTCAGATTAATTAGATAAAATCAACATGACCTTAGTAAAAGTTTTCTAGTTTTCGAGACATTGCCACATTGAGGTTTTTTAAAAAAATCTCTACTTTTTGCTCCTTTCTTGCCTGTTATGGCTATAAAGAACTTATAACTCATATTTTTTTCCTGGGCTTTCATTAATAGTTGGTCGAGACAATTGAGTATTCATTTCATTGATGCGCTATAGTAAAAAAAACTAAATTATTACATTTGGTTTCAATGCGAAAACCTTTACTAACAAATATATAATAGACTGAATCAGCAAGCGACTTGTAAAACAAGCTATTTAATGTTCTTTTAAAAATAGTATAACATTTGCAGGTTCTTTTTACTAAAAACTGAATAATTCCAAGTTTCGTTATTGAAGTATATATATAAAAAATAAAATTTTTAAAAGAGCATTAAATAGGCTACTTTTTAAGATCATTTGCCGATTCAGTCTGGTACATTTTTTCCACAGTGCTTAGTCAAACCCTAGTAAAGGTTTTCACATTGAAACAAAATGTAATAATTTATTTTTCTTAGTATACAGTGCTAGCATTCAATGAAATGAAAACTTGGTTGTCTCAACCAACTATTAGAGGTAGTCCAGGAAAAAAATCATGTGTTAAAAGTTCTTTATAGCCCTAACAGGCAAAAAATGAGAAACAAGTAGTGATTTTTTGAAAAAACTTAAAAGTGGCAATATCTCGAACACTGGACAACTTTTACTAGGGTATGTTGATTTTATACAATTGATCTGAAGCCAATCTACCTCCCGTGTCACTCTGGCGTGTTATTTCTGGGATACCCTGGGGAGTGAATCCAATAAGAAAAGTCCATATGAACATAGATACGCTATTAAACTTGTTTGAATATTCTCTTTTTATGTGAATTCAGCAATATAGATGGTCACGACGTTTCGTGATTTTAATAAATCGATTTACTCTAATTATTTTCGGTACATGTGTAGCTGCTAAATTTCAATTAGTTAGACAGATCCGAAGAGAAAAAATAACGGTTATTACGATTTTTTCGGAAAACGGTTTTCTAACTGAAAAAGTTTGACACTGTCTGTCACATCTTGAAAATGCATCATTACATGACCTAACCCAATTTTTCTCAAGCCTAGAAGTTTGGTCAGATTCGTTAGCAACATCCTGTATAAAGCAGAATAAGAAAATGACCTCATGCATGCTGTCTACGATAGTTTAGGACTCTATAAGTATATACTTATGAAAGCGGACTGACTTATTCACTTACTGACTGACATACCAACACAGAGCCCAAACCGTTGGAGGTAGAAATTTGATATTTTGGAGAGAAGTCCATCATCGTAGAAATTTGTTACTAATTGAAAACCAAGAAAGGTTATAGACTTGGTTTTTATCCCCGAAAGTACACCCCTATTTTGACGTCGGACATATAAAGAGCTCCACGATACCCATAAGTCTTTAGTATGAAGTATGAAAAAAAAAACAATATAATATACAAATATTCTGAAAAACATCAAAAAAAACACTTTTTAAAACTCATCTCCTAAATGAAATCTATATACATATCTACATATAAAAGAAGATGTGACTTGAAATTTTGCAGAAAGATTCTTCATAAAGCTAGAGTTTACACAAACAGGGGATTTTTAGAAATTCACGGAAGTTCGAATGAGACTTTTAGATATCAGAAATTTATACAAACATCCAACAACTCAAACGAAAGTGATTCGGCATTCTTTGAAATTCAACCCTGAGTAGGGTGGAATAAGAGGTGTGAATTTCTTTGTGAAGTCTTGTTAATATTCATTCATAATAACAAAAGAAACGACGAATGTTTTTGATGGATCTTCGCACAGTGGTACGGAACCCTTGGTGTGGGAGGCTATCTCGCACTTGGTTGACATTTATTATTCTCTTTTGTCCAGCCTCTTAAAAAAGAAGCTGATACAGCATTAAGTAAAATATGTTTTTCTTTGATGAGTTGTAAATATAATTAGCCACTTCGGTATCATTCATTAAAAAATTTATTTAATGACAATATGACATACCCTACTTTCACCACAGAAAAATATATAATTTTCATGATAAAACCCAAAACTGCGTGTGCGGAGACGTGAACAGAAAGCTATTGGTGGAATATAGAGGGTATTCATTTGAAAAAGGATTTATCGAAAATCACTGATTAAAAGAAAAAACGTCGAGACACGTCAAAAGATGGGGAAATATGTAGAGAATAAATGCAGATCCGTTAAGGTAGTTGTTGGTGACGAAGAGATTGTTCTTACCGTTATCACAGGAAAGCAGGTGATATACAGAAGATTGATAAATTCAAAAACATATCACTTTTATTTGATAGATCAGTAAAACAAATTGACTGTTTCGGACAACTGAAAGTGCAAGTAGATGAACGTGTCCGTAAAGGAGAGAGAAATTTGAAAATAAAATATGTAAACGGAACTCCAAAAATTGTCCATATAAACATATAAATTCACCCAATTACGATTCCTCTGCGAGCAGTCACAATGAAGTGAAGTGCTATTATTTATCAAAATGTAAAGGGGTTGAACTTCAAAGTTAATACTTTCTCCAACTCCATTTGTGATTGTGAGTATGACTCAATTTGCTTAGCTGAAACGTGGCTTTCGGACAAAGTTCATGATATTGAACTGTTTCCTGCTGATTATAATGTCTTCAGGTGTGACAGAAATTTAAACTTCCCACATCTGTCTACAGGTGGTGGTACTTTGATTGCTGTAAAGAACACTTTTAATGTCATGGCTATCAATGTTGATGTACTTAATGCAGCATTTCCTCTCATTGACACAGTAGCAATTTCAGCATAAGCTTCTTGTAATATACACAGTTTATGTCCCACCTTCTGTAACGACGGAGGTGTTTGAGTATTATCTTGGAAACATTCAATAGTATTTTTGATTCTTGCCAAATTTTGATTCTCGGTGACTTTAACACCCCTGCTTTTAACTTGTTTAAAATGTTTCAACTGTGTTTATAAATTCTGATTCTTCTAATTCTGAGAAAGTTAAGGAATAAAATGACTTCAAGCTATAATGGTGTTCCTGGTTTTTTAATAAAGGTTTGCATTCATGTATTGGCGAAACCGCTTTGCATGATCTACTCGTACAATTTGATATTGTTAACATGCTTTTGCTCTCGCATCTGGAAAATGACCAAAGTATGTCCTGTCTTTAAAAGTGGCGATAGAAATAATATTTGTAACTATAGACAGATTGCGATGCTTTGTTGATTGATTGGGTTGTTTAAATCTTTACTAAAGCTTATCAGATCAAATTTATTTGAAAGAAATCTGTACGTTGAGTTTGGTGGTTTTAAATCTAATTCTTATACAGCAACTTTTGGAGTGCCCCAAGGATCAAATTTGGTTCCTTTGTTTTTTATGTTGTTTATCAATGACCTGTCGCCGGAATTGCTTGGTATGCACTTACTTTATGCTGATGACTTAAAAATTTATACTGCTATTCAGAGTTGTCACGACTGTATCTCTCTTTAAAACAGCTTGAACTTGGTGCATTTTTGGTGTTTCAGAAACTCTCTCAAGATTAATGTATCGAAGTGTAAGGTCCTGTCTTTTAGTAGGAAGCAAAATGATGATTATAGTATCAATGATCACTTACTCGAACGAACAGAAACGTTCAAATATTTGGGTGTTGTAGTCGATGCCAAGCTGACATTCAAGGATCACATCACTCAAATGGAGCGTTTAAGATGCTAGGCTTTTTTGTAAGAAATTGTTCAGGGTTTTCAAACATATCAGCTCTGAAGGTTTTATATTTTACATTTACTATACGCTTCATTAATTTGGTCTCCAATTCAAGGGTTAGTATTGAATATGTACAGCGTAAGGCTTTAAAGTATTTGTATTACAAATGTTATGGCAATTATCCTGAAAGAGGTTTTGACCATTCTATTTTATTAAACATCTTTGATATAGAGTCATTGCATCTGAGACTCGATATATCAGCGCTACATCAAAAATCATACACAACCAAGTTGATTGTTCATTCATACTAAGTAAGCTTAATTTTAGTGTGCCTAGGTTGTGAAATCGTGTTCAACTCGCTTTCTATCCGGTTATTGGTAATACTAATGTAATGTCTAGATCTCCGGTAACTTTGAAGTGTACATGTTTCATGTTTCAATTCTGTTTGCAGTTCCTGTGACTTACTTTTTGATAGTGAGAACTTTGTTATGAAGTGCTACAGAGACTGGTACCTTTGTCAGTGAGAGTTAGTTTTTTCTTTTTTAAGTTTTTCTTTTTTTTCTTCAGCGTTACCGCTGTTGTAACTGTTTCTTATATTTTTCCTGTAATTGGGTGTTCCGTGTTGGGAATAAATAAATAAAATAAAAAATAAAAGATTTGTCAAGGACAACTTTTTAACCAAAAACTACTTCACCCCCTTTCACTCTCCGCCCCTTAGGGTCAATCCCGTAAACATGTTAAATAAGAAGGGGTATCGAGTAATAGCTTGTTCGAAAGGACTTGCGAAGCTCTTTATTTTGACACGTTTGATTTCTTAAAATCAAATTTGTTTAGATAGAAAACAAAAACACGAAAATATCACTTTTTATTTCAGTAAGTGTTCAAAATGTTGCCCGTTAGGATTTGCCAAATCTACAATTAGTTTATAATTTGAAACAGCAATTCGGAAGATTCGCATTCGTTTCATCAACACATTCTAATTGATGGTGCCCAAAATGAATGTGCTCTTCAAACTGCCGTCACGTTCAACGCTAGACATCCGGGGAAGATAACTCTGCATAGTTTTGGATGTTGTTACTAAATTTACTCAAACTGGATCTGTCGCAAATAAAAAACGTGATCATCGGAGAGTTGTGGATAAAGTCGCTCAAGTTGAAGTTTTGGGTTAGTTTGGAATAAATCCTAATACTTGACTACGCAAAATTGTTGCTGCGACTGGTATTTCATTAGGCTCTGTAGTCACAGTCACTAAGGCCCGTATCGTCAGTCGTCCCTACAATTGTAGGGCGCGTGTATGGCCTCCTTGATTATCATACTCCTTTCTCTCCTTCAAAAATTTCTAGATTACACTTGTCCCGTGTCAGCGTCAGCGCTCTCCTATTGTGAAGATATGTTTTCTTTTTAAATTGTAGGAAATTTCAGGTTGATAAAACATGATATAACTCAAAAGCAAGCACAATTTGATGCAAATAATATTGCAATATCAAATATTGCAAGAGTTAACCGAAGATGGTTTCGATAGGCAAGTTGAGTTTTGTGAACAAATAACTGCAGCGATTGATGATAATACCATTCATGTAAAGAATATCTGCTTCAGTGATGAATGCACATTTTATCTAAATGGATTTGTTAATAAGCATAACTGCAGGTATTGGAGCAATGCAAATCCTCATGCTTTTGTAGAAGGGCATACCCAGTATCCCCAAAAAATCAATGTATGGGCAGGCATTTCAGGAAACAAAGTGATTGGGCCATTGTTTATTAATGTAAATTTGAATGGCGATATTTATTTGGATATGTTGGAAAATACCATCAATTCGCTTATCACTGAAACCATTAAAAACCAAATCGAAGAGGATGGAAACCCTATACTTGATGAGTTTCCAGATAAATGGATAGGGCGAAGATGGCCGATAGAATGGACTGCTAGATCTCCTGATTTGAAGTCATTAGACTTTTTTCTATGAGGCATTTGAAACCTATTGTGTTTACTCCCCAACCTGAAAGTTTGGATGAATTTCGTCAACGCATCATCGAAAGCTGCCATTATATCCTACATGTCCGTCAGGAATTTGAACATCGCCTATATTATTGTTTGGCCAATAACGGGCAACATTTTGAACACTTATTGAAACAAAAAGTGATATTTTTGTGTTGTTGTTTTCTGTCTGAACATATTAAGACAAATAAAGATTTTTCTAATTTTCTTGAAAACGATTCGACCGATTCTTAAAAATCAAACGTCAAAATAGAGGACTTCGAAAGATCTTTTAAACAAGCTATGTCATTTTTCATTTAAAATGTTTAAGGGAATGACCCAGGGGGGCGAGGGGAAAGGGGGTAAAGTAGTTTTTGGTTAAAAAGTTGTCCCCCTTGACAAATCTTTTGACGTGTTTTGGCGTTTTTTCTTTTAATCAGTGTTTTTCGATAAATCCGTGGTGGGAAGTTTTCAAATGTGTATGTTACATCATAAACAGAATATAAATAAAGTTGAATTGTTAATATTGTATTACGCTCTTACTTTCAGGGTACGATACTCCAGAAAAGGTCATCCTAGCTTATAATGGCTTGTCTGCTTGGGGTCAAAAACCAGGTGGTGTTACTTTCCACGGTTGCCCTGTAAACAGATGCTCGTTAACAGATGATAGAAGTAAAGCAGTGGATGCTGATGCGATACTTTACAAAGACCATTTCATACATCCAGGAGTGCTAAGGCCAATGCACCAGGTAATTGAACCTACCTATTTTCGCACATTTTAGAAGAACCTGGGATTATTCTAAAGAAGCCAGCAATTTTTATTAAGATAAATGAATTGTGCTCTTATTCTTGTTTTCTCTTGAGAACCAGTAATGATTTGTCATCAACGGTCTCAAATACATTTGTATATAAACAGAAAATTCACTAGGCTAAGATTTTTTCAATCGTAGTATACAACTAGAAAACGACAATATGTGCACACGTTGAACTTCATATTTTTAGGTATGGATAATATACTTTTTAGAATGTCCCTACCACACGCAAAGTATAAAATTCACTGACGTCATCAACTGGACAGCCACGTACAGAAGGGACAGCGATATCGTTGCCCCGTATGAAAGGTGGACGTATTTTGATCCACAGGTAAGCCTCGTTGATCATTCCATTTATAAGTGGCGCAATGTGGTTAAGTACAGCCAGCATTAATCACGTCAAAAACGCAGTTCGCGCTCGCGTGGAGTACTTTCCGTAGACTGACCTAGTGACTCTCTCTCCAATCCCTGCCTTTATATCCGTATGGCCCATATGCTGTAGGTTCTGCGGTCACCAATAGATGGAGCTGTTTAGGTGTTTTCTCTCTGGCATAACAGATATTGTTACTACCGCCAACAGATGGCATTCATAGCGTCACAGTACGCTGGATAAAATTGGACGTTAAGTGTTTACCTCCCGATTACAAATATGTTTATGAGTACAGCACGGTTAATTAGATTACACGTTCGTATCAGAATTCAAAAAGAATCTGTTTTGAAATAATATAAATATTTATACGATTGGTTCTTCCAATCCTCATAGCAGTGATGGAATTCCGTTACAACTTACGCGACGCTTACGATTTGACACAAGTTAGTTAGAATCTTACCTTCCCCTTTCCGCTGTTGAGACACAGGGATTTTCGTTTCTGAGTGATTGACGTTCATAATTGAGGTTAGGTATCTTTAACCCTTAACTACCGTAGTGCAGAAAGTGTAACGTCATTAACGTAGTGCGGTCTCAGTGACCGCACATTACTAACAACCTCAATTACAAAAAATAAAATATTTTGCATGTTGTAAATATTCAGGTAGAGTAGAACGAGGCCTCAAATAAGACATAACATATAATTTTTACCATACTTCATACTTTTTTTTCTAATTTTTCCTCGAAACATCCCCTTCAGCACGGTTAGGGAGAGATATAATTCTACGAATTGTTGTCCGAATGTTGCGCTTTAGTTTTATATTTTCTGTACGCCTAATAAGATGGGTTCTTACCAATTGATCAGCAAGAATTTTTAGAAAGTCTGCTTTTTCGATCTTTGTGCTATTTTTGAACGACTGATGAAAAACATGTGCAATTACACCACAAATATCAAGGAACTACGGCCAGATCGCATTCTGGTTGGTGGTCTACTATCGTGCAAAGAATATTCACTTTTCAGTATTTGAATTATGCGACGTTTAGCGAGCTGAGACGGTGCACGATGACTACCATATTTAGCACGAAATGCTCTTTGAGTAGCGGCAACACTTCTTGAACTTTGACTGAATATTTAGAAGATCTCCAAACTTCCTTACTGAACACAAAATAACTCAGCTATCAGAAAACTAAGATGGCGGCAGTAAGCTGTCAAAATCCCATTATCCCAATTGGACACCATGTAGTATAATTGCGATTTATTCTTGAGGATCTGTGCTGCAAAAAATAATCCACAATGCTGACAGAAAATTTCACTGGCTATAGAAAAATCTTAATAGATATAGTAACACAGACAACGTAGACCGGTCACTGTGACCGCTCTGTAACTTTTGTCGTATTTCTATTGTAAACCGATAAAAGTGCCACCTTCAACTTTTAGCCACAAACTGACCACGTGGTCACTTGAAGGTAGCGAGGATATTACCTGATTATACTGAAGTGGTGGTCAGATATATAGAAATAAATATGTGCTGCGGTCTCAGTGACCGCACTACGGCGGTTAAGGGTTACTGTTTGGAGAGTCTCTATTTAGTGATTAATTATGGAGGAAACTACAATCACAAACCAACAACGTCTAATACCACACAAAACATAAACACTGATTATTATCTTATTATTCGCTCTTTGGCAGGTATGGTACGTTCCTCTTGAAATCGTGCTTACGGTCAACAACTTAGCTCAGGTCAGAAGCTAACTTTAACTTAGGTTAGAAAATCGCCAGTTTGTAAGCAACTAGTAATAGCCTTTAGCTGGTCGGTTACAGCAGTTTGAATGTTTTCGTCTGTCCTTTGGGGTGATTTTCCAAGTTCTGGAAGAGAAAAAAACTAACAAGGACCCGAGTCAGGTGAATAAGGAGGCTGAGAAGCCACAGGAATGTTTTTACTGGCCAAAAACTCGTTTATTGACATTGCTGTGTGACAAGGAGCATTATTGTGATGCAAAATCCAGTTATTCTTGATATGTCGAACGGTGGTTGACTAAGTCAAATTTAACTCTTTCCCGGTCATTCTGACTGTCAACTGAGGATCGGAACGCACGAGATCCCGGAGTCTGTCGATATTTCTTCTTGAAGATGAAGGGATTTTGCTTCGTAGTGCACCTTCAATCGACCCTCTAACTTCTGAAAACGTCATAAACCATCGAAAAACCCGATCCCTTGAGAAAACACTATCTCCGTAGGCCTGTTTAACGAGAGTTTCCGTTGCACTGTGCCCTGGTATGAAGCAAAACCTGATATCACACGTTGTTGAGTTTGATTTCACTCATTTTTAGAATAGAATAGAAAAAGCTGTTTCATAAAAAAAATCGCTAGGGACAACCAGAAGACTCGATCGAGTTAGAACTTGTACTTAAGGCGGATCACATGTTTCTCTGTCTCCTCCAAGCCCGGCGCCTCCAGTGTTACCAGATCGATCGCTACGTTTCCAGTTTCATCGTATATAAAATTTGGTATTTCCTTATATTTTTATAAATGGTTGTGTACTATTGTATTATTTCAGTCATATATATATATACATAATATAATAAAGACCTTCGAAAGTAGTCAACTAGTTTTATCGAAGTACTACTTGAGTAAGGAGGTTGTACAAAAGTGAAAAACCATCTCAGAATCCATACGTGTTTGAGAACTTTTTCAAAATATGGTATGTTGTGGATATCATCCCAAACAATACAAGTGTGTCAGTATTCGTAGGTCTTATAAATATGGGTATGTTACGAGATATACCGGCTTCAAAGTTAACCCTCCATGCCTTAACAACAGGTGCGAGTTGTAAATTTTGTCGCCAAAACAATTATGGAGCATTTAATAGATATGTTTCCGTATTATGATGATTTAACATATTCAAATTTTATTCACAAAAAGTTCGGCATTGTTTCAATGTCAAATTTTAACAATTACGATTTTTTTCATTGAAGTTCTTATCATACAGTTCTATAGTTTTCTTCGTCGAAAGAAGCATTTTTGCTGTCACCCTTTGCTGTATGGAAAACTCAAATATTTCAGTTTGGTATTATTATTAATTGATAATCTTATTTTTACAGGTTAAACAGAAAGTGCAAAGTAGAGATTACGCTGCAAACAAATCGAAAAAAGTAGCTTGGTTCGTATCGAACTGTGGTGCTAGAAATGGTAGACTGGCTTATGCACGAGAGCTTGCCCAATATATAGATGTAGATATTTATGGCACTTGTGGCCCCTTAAAAGTGAGTAGGAAACATTATCTCCGCATTATCATCATCACAGTCGGAGGATCAAATTATCACAATCTATATTACACACGACAAAAGCAAAAACTGTTTGTTGATGGACCTCTGAATTATGACATTCAGCATTATACGCGCGGGCTTTAGCCATTTAGCCATGGTGAACCGTGACTAAGTGTATCAAACGTGCTAGATGAGCTTTCTTCCCATTGTGCAAATTTATTTCACCTTTGTGTCATATGAACAGCTCTAATCATTGTAGTAGATTAACTGACAGATACTTATTTCAATTTGAACTGGAAAACTGCTGCAGTCGAGATCATTTCATACATACAGTTGGAGAGACCTTCTATAATGAGAAAGCATCTATGATCGAATTCCGTTAGGGGCAGTAGCAAATCTTCTTTTAATGCTTCTAGCTTTTTCATTCCTTCTTGCGGAAAGACAGCAATTTCTAAAATCGACATATTAAAACATCAATTCGTTCCCGTTTAAAGTAAATGCTCCCTGTCCTATTTTGATCTTCCACTGTTTTCAAGTTTGGTGGTAATTTTAAGATAATACCAATTTTAGATTTGGGTGTTTGGAAACTAGTCACTCTTTGCTATAGAGGAGTTTGGACACTGATACTAAACTAAATCGTGATACCTCACGCGTACGGCTCTAGAAGCTATTTACCTACCCCAATAGCATGAAATATTTAATAAGTATTTTTAAAAAATGTTTGCTAAATATTAGAAGCGATAGATTTTTTAATATTCAATAAATAAATTTTATGCATATGTATAAAATATTCATTTTAGATATTTGTGGTTTATATAATATATATTTTCACGATATTTTTTCCAAACATTTAGAAAATATATGAGGAAAGATTTTTAAATATCAATTTTATATTTTGGTGAAATATCTGATTTTTCTCGTAAATTTTTAGGAAATATAAAGCAACACATTTTGAAGCATTAATCTGATTGATACATATTAAAAGTGTATTCTTGAAAATGATTCATTGGTTATTTTAGTTATCTGTAGGAATGCTTTTCTTGGTATGTAAAGGAAATTCATTCTAGATGTAGTAGGTAAATGGTTTAATTTGCTAGAAAAATATCATTAAAAATATTCTAGACCTCTTCGGCATCTTGCAAATCCATTTTCCGAAAAAAAAACTTACTTATTATAAAGAATTCTTGGATACATAAGCTGCTTTCCAGTGTTTTTTTGTTTGAGAGTGAACTGCTCTACAAATTGTATATATGGTAATATAAAAAACTGCAGTGGAACACTATGGGTGCTAAGCACTGCTGAGTTACTCAGAGTAACTCAAGTTGGTCACTAAAAAGGAGCTTTATAATGCACCCACATGGGCACAACTTGATCCGTAGACTAGTTTTCTAAAAACAAAGTTTTTAAAGATGGGCCACTTATCGATTTTGCTGAAATGTGAATTTTTCGCAGTAGTAGGGTGCTAATTTAGCCGTAACTATTTTTGATGTATCTTGATCAAGTTGTGGTGACTTTTCATGGGAATGAATATAATTTTATTATAGATTTTCAGATAAATCCACCATCCCAAAGTCCTATAAGAAGTATGCTGGTCCTTTTATATTTTATCGCAAATAACTCTGCCGCATTTCAAGGCTAGTTATTTATGGTCTTGCATATATATACTCAACTGGCACAATAATGTTCACTAGTCAGATGAATTAGGCTAAGTAATTATCGTAAAACTTACCTTTTTCCACAAAGAAACACTCAAATAATGTACCCCTTGGAGGTACACACGATGCGCGCTATCACAGTCAAACACAGAGGCAAAATGGAAGCTGCGAAGCGCGTTAGTTCAGGTCGGCTCGCCATTATGCCATTGGTGGCTCGGGGTCATAAGCACATGCGCCGTAGCAAAAAATATTTAATACATATTTTTTAAATAATGGAGTTGTTATAATTTCCATTGATTGAAAAGTAAATATTTGATAAATATTATAGAGGAAATATTTGATATAAATAAATAAAACATATTGATTAAATATTTATTAAGAATGTTATACTACAAATATTTATTAAACATTTGTTTAATATAACAAATATTTAAATCAGATGAAAATATTGTTAAATATTTAATGAATATTTCGTGCTATCGGAGTAAGGGACAACTTACAGGTTTTATGAAAAATTTTTTTTGAAGTTATAAATGACACCTTTCGCAGGTTCTTTTTCTAACTTCTAAGTTATTTGTAAAACCTGTACGTTGACCCCTAGCTAATTAGCTTTTAGGGTGCTAGGTTGAGAATACGCGATTTAGTTTAGTATCTGAAAATAATTATTACTTTGACATTTCCTAGCCTCGACACTATGCCTTAAGGCGAATCTTGGGGGGGGGATCCATCGTAGTTATTTCTTTTGGAGTTACCTTGTATAAATTGGAATGAAATCCAGCTTGTAATTTGGATTTATATTTTTTCAGTGCCCAAGGTCGGATAGGAAATGTTTTGATCTCCTAGATAAAGAGTACAAATTTTACTTAGCTTTCGAAAACTCAAATTGCCGTGATTACATAACTGAGAAATTCTATGTGAACGGCTTGGGTCAGAATGTGCTTCCAATTGTGATGGGTGCCCGGCCAGAGGATTACCAAAGGAGTGCTCCAGAAGGTAACATTCTTTGACTACCTTTAACATGCTAAATGGACACGAATATACCCTTTGACCTACTGTGTTCAACGTGGAATACACAAAAGTGCAGCGAAAATGTCCTGGATTCATTCAGGTCTAAATCCATTGATGCTTATATACTCGTTTAGTTTCCAAAATAGGTTGCAGAACAGGTTTGTGCATTCGTACTTTTGTAGATTTTGATACGTTACATCTAAGTTTTGCTCCTTCGTAACTTCTCGTCAGGCCACCATATTGGAAAAAATGCAACCAAAAACAGATTTTTTGCAATCCCGCCCTTTTGAGAGGGCTTTCGACCTTGCCTACGATGAAAGTAGCTTGTTACAGTTTCTTCTTATGGTCGACTAAAAATTAACTACATTTTGATAAAGTAAATTATGACAACGTTTTTCTTATTTAGGATAATAATTTTATAGCCGTTCTTAAAAATATCGGATTGCATTTTTATAAAAAAAACACGTCTCCCAGTCTGATAATTTTGTGGTAGAAAATCACACTCTTCTCTCCATCTCGTTGTCTGCAGCCCATTGCCCGATTCTGTGAATAGTTCACGCGCTGAGTTGCGGATTCAAGGGTAGTGGGGCAGTTTTTGTTAGAAATCGGCCCTCTTTGTGGTTCTTAGTGTCGAAGCCTTTTTCTTATTCTTTTGGGGATTCAACCGTGCTGATAATTACACTCAACCATCAAGCGGAGGGGGACCGCCTACAGGGTTAGTCCAAGGCGAGTTTGAGTGGGACTCATGCCTGGGAGGAACAGTTCCCTCATTTTTAAAGAACAGTCATTGCTAGAGGGTTGTACCCTCCCGTTTTACCCTCTGGTTTTCGGGGTGTGTGCCTTGTGAGTTGGTATCTCTTTTAACGCCAGAATCCCAACAGTGATACTTGTCGTTACTTCAGTTCCTATTTTTTTGAAACTAGGTGGTGCCCAAATAACCATTGCATCCAAAAACCAAAGTACAAACAACCTCACCATGAGGGGGCTCATAGCTACCAACTGAGCACACTGTTTATTCGGGATAACGAGCTTTGTGTCAGATTGAAGTATACTTGGCTGCCAAAATGGAAGAGAGTACCATAAAACACCGTACGCCACTGTTAACGAAGCAGCCTCTGTATCGGTAAGATCGGTGCGCGTAAATCCCTGTGTATTCAGAGACACGCCGTGTTAATAGTAGCGTACGATGCTTTTTGCTACTCTCTTCCGTTCCGGTTCCATAATACAGATATAGTTCCCGACAATTTATGAGTTATATGTCCAGCCTGTAATAAATAAACTAGAAAATAGAAGATGCAACTCAGTACCCTTTGCGCAGCGCCTGGTAACAAGTACTTGAAAAAGGCCACCGGGGTAGCCAACGAATTCGAATATATTAGAAGGAGGAGGAGTTTACATTGCATTGCTTGTAACCAAAGTTGCGTAGTTTCAGAGCGTACCTTTGACTCATTTGACGACCGCTGTCTACCAAAGTGATAGCATTGTATCAACACAATAATAATACTTGTTGGTGGAAACATCTCTTCACAAGTAACTAAATAACAGTAGCAATTTCAAACAGATTTCCAGTTATTTACATCAGTTTACAAGAAATAAGCAAAAACTGTGGAATTAGTTTACAATAAACTGGATGGCAATCCGTTTTGTTGGTGTTCGTATGGCAGATCTGTCAAGGCTCAGTTTTGTGAGATGAGTCGGGCAGAATTTCCCCAAAACAAGCACAAACATTTCTCATAAATGTTAAGTTAAAAAAAACTCAAATCACGGTTAATTAAAGGAAAGAGGTAGGTTTGCTTCAAATACCAAGGGAGCTTTCTATCCATGAATCATGTGATATCCCCTGGAAAATTATATCCTCAAAAAGTTTTCCAAGTAAAAATCCCTCAAATTTCGGGGAATATCTTCCAGCATGACATCTCTGTGAAAGCACCTCTGGTACTCCAGGCGACAAATGTCGGGGTCATATTTCAGCATGAACAGCGTTGCCGTTGAAACTACTGGTAGAGGAGAGGGTATAAATATGGGCTACCATTTTATTTAATTGGCATATTTGACACATATTTGGTCTATATGGCTCAACTTTTTTTTTCTCGGATAAGCTGAACCTAATCTAACATGATGCTGTCAGTTTTTATTTTTTTTACATAAACCTTATTCGATTTTTTATATGTTTAAATAAAATTGGCATCATAAAAGATATTGAGATAGTGATACAAATATGGGCTACCAGAAAAAATACCTACACATGGTAACTAAGAGCTTTATTCAAGAGCAAAATTTTGAAAAAACAGAAGCAGTTGGCAAGAACACATTAGATATTATCCAGTGCGACAAAAGTCACAAACATAATCATCTTTATCAGCACCTGCACAATCGACATGACACCACATATTGCACATTAAACATTGAACCCATAGTTCTCCTTTGCGATCTTCGGAAAATTTACTTTCACAAAAGATGCATTCCGCATCTAAATCATCTGGTTCCTTTTGTCCAGGCAGATCATCCAAATCTAAGTCATCATCTGTTAACATCAGCTCTGTTTCATCGTCATCACTTTCAGATTCTCCTAAAGATTGCTGCTTTTTATTCTCCTTCGAAGATATGGACGATCTCTTTTTGGTTGATTGAGAAAACACCTTTTTTTTAATACATTTAATCTTTTGTTTATTTTTATTGGCAGTGCTCAACAATAATTCATCTTTGTAAGGGGACGAAGTAATTACTGCTGCTTGTGATGCTTTCCTACCCCTATTACTTGTTTTTTTTTAAGATCGGAACTGGTGAAATATCGAAGGGAGTCACCATTTTTTTTTTGATCCCAGATGGTCCAGGCTGAACGCTGTCGTGATTGAGTAGCTCTACATCAGATTGAAATTTACCACTTGGCCCGGGTTGAACGTCGTCTAGACTAGGAGGCTCTAGATCTGATTGAGATGTGCCCAGTGTGCTCTGATCGAAGTCATTTTCAGCGGTACAGTGTTCTGTTCCTTTTTCTATTTCGGCTGCAAGAAAGTCCACTTCGGAAAAAATATTCCTGTTAATCGGAAAAATTACAGTAACGCGGAATCCTTTTACGGCGATTTCTCCAGTCTGACTTTTGAGATAAGCCCTTCCCAAAAGTTCGCCCATATCATATTGGGTTAATGGACGATGATTATGACGAATCCATTGTCTAATCTCTTCGCTGTAGTAAGATTTTAATGTACCCATGAAAGTTTTGTCAAGAGGTTGCAATTTATGTGTTGAATGAGGGGGTAATGAGATTATGCAAACATGATTTTCTCTCGCCATAATAACAACCTCTAAATTACGGGTATGACTATAATGTCCATCTAAAATTAGAAGAACAGGTGAAGATGCAGTTGGTTTTACCGTGTTGATGAAATGTTCGAACCACTGGGCGAATAATGAGGCCTGAACCCATCCACTTGGGTGAACTGATGATATTGATCCTGGAGGAGTGCCTTTCATTAATTGCACATTCATATTTTTTCTAGGAAATATGAGCATCGGTGGAACGAAGTCTCCCCCTGCATTCATGCAGGTAATCAGAGTGATTAAAGACCCCCTTTCTAATGATGTTAAAGATGCAATTTGTTTTTTGCCCTTACGACCAACCACTTCAGCCACTTTATTTTGCACAACAGTTAGACCAGTCTCATCTACATTAAAGACGCGATTAGCTGGGAAATTGTGGTCTTCATATGCTTTCTCCAAAAGTGTAAAGAAGTTGTCCACACTCTCTTTGTTGAACCCTTTGGCACGTGCAAATGATGTCCCAGTAGGTTTTCTAACCGACAAAATTTTGTGTCTTTGCAAAAATAGATCTAACCAGCCCCTTCCTGCTGTTTGTGTATTCCCAAAAGGATGCCCTATGCCGTTTTCTTCTGCTAAGTAAAATGCCATACGTTTAACGTCTTTGAGGGTTAAACCATAGAACTTGGCTTCCATTTCAAGAATATAGCGAACTAATGATTCTTCCAATTCTGGAGTCAAAACTGTACCTCGCCCTAATTTGATCTGAACAGCCTCCTCCACGCTAAGATGGTCCATTTTGGCCAATCGCTGCACTGTAGTTCTTGGAACGCCATAAGTTTTAGCTGCCTTTAGAGTACCCATAGTTTTTTCTCTTACCGCTTGAACAGCCCTTTTCATATGGTCTACATCCCATGTCTTCCGTTTCTTGGCGCTCAACTTGGGACTAACAACAGCTTTTCTGCGTGGCATTCTAAAACAAGGTTCATGATTTCTACTACTGTTACAAATATGGGCTAGCCCATATTACAAACGTAATACCAGCCCATATTGCACATAACCTCCAAAAAGTTTGAAACTCCACAAATATTTGATATCTTATATCTGGGTAAAATTAAAAACAAAATCTAAAAATACGAACCTTATTTTCAATTGTAAGCTATAAAAATCCAGTTAACTTCTAAAGCCTACTTGGTTACAGCGACAAATAACCACCACTGCAAAACTTATAAACACTGATAAAGACCAAATCACACGAAACTGAATTACATATGTGAAAAGAAGAATTCTGTGATCAGCAGGCGGTTAGGTGCTCTAAAGAGCATCTAATTGATACATTACTCGATAGATGACTCTAGGTGCATCAGAAATATCAACGTAGCCCATATTCCCCGCCTAGCCCATATTTATACCCTCTCCTCTATAAAAGCACCATGCTGCAGACACTCACACTTTTGAAGAATAACACTAAAATATGAACTTAATGACAGAATTGTCTAAAATTCACTTATGTCAATTGCACTTTGCACTTGTAGTTATGCACTTTTATCCTCACTACAGACTATAAAAATTAGGAAACAAATACATTCTTGACTGGCTCCTTCTACCTACTCTGAATTCGTTGGTGGTAGCCGAAACGTCGTCATTAAAAAGTATTCCAAGCACATGTGGTTTAGTTTAGTGGCCAGACAAGGGAGTTCTATAGTTTCTCGTTATATACATAAACTTCGAAATTTTTCTCGATTAGAATATTTTCTCGCCAATTGGTGTGGAAAGTAATACTAAGTATTTTGTCATATACATGTTTAGTGTATGTAATTCACTATATGGTTACTGTCATTAGAAAATGATTCGGAAGAAAGATATTGATCAGTCACTATCTTGGAGATGCTTGCTTTTCCATATACTCAAGTTTGAGTCTACTTAGCGCTTTGTACCGCTTGTTTTGAGGGATTATTCATTTTACACAAACAGGTTGATACATAAGTTGGAGGAAGTTTTCTCTAGTTTAATATATCATATTATTATTTTTATCATAGATAATACGGAAAATGATATTCCACAAGCCCGTGTTTGTGTCATTTTCCCAATTATCGAGGCATCAGTGGCAGTAACACGAGGTAGCGAACTTGAAACTCAATCAAAATACAGGGTGGCCGATATGCAACTGACTGTCTTGTATCTTGAATATTTGCAAAATGAAATAAAAGACGTACATTTTTTAATCTGTTATTGAAACTTGGAAATTATCTATGAAAAATAATATCAGACCAATGTCCGCGTCTAGAAGCCGCGCAATCCTGAGCCCTCTACGTACATTCTTCATCACTTTTTGGTAGGTTTCGGGAGGAATATTTTCAATCGCTTCCGTAATATTGTTCTTCAGCTGCTCTACAGTATTTGGTTTGTTGGCATAAACCCTATTTTTCCAAAATCCCCATAAAAAAAAGTCAGGACCCGTTAAATCCCGTGACATTGGCGGCCAGTTGACATCATCAAATCGAGAAATGAAACGTCCTGGAAATATTGTTCGCAAAAGATTAATTGTTATCTTAGCTGTGTGAAAATTTGCTGCGTCCTGCTGGAACCACATTCTTGTGCAGGTTAAATTGTTAGATTTGAGGAGCCAGAAAGTTTTGTACCATATCACGGTAGCGCTCGCCAGTGACAGTAAGAGAATTACCTGCAGCGTCTTCAAAGAAGTAAGGTCCAATGACACCTCCATATCAAACACCGCACCAAACTGTGACTCGACGAGGATGTAGTGGTCGTTGATGGATGACTCGAGGGTTCTCTAATGCCCAGATACGACAATTCTGCTTATTAACAAATCCGTTCATATCGAAGTGGGCTTCATCGCTCATTATCAGTTGTCGGTAAAAATCGTTATTTTGGCTATTAACGATTTCTGGTAGACGTCTCAGGGCGCTCCACAACACTTTCACGAACTCCCTCGATATCTTCCGGAGTACGAACAGTTTGAACACGGCCCGATCTTGGCAAGTCTTTAAGTTCACCTGTTTGTTCAAATTTCCGCACCAACTGACGAATGGTGGGCATATTATATCGACCGATATCTTGTCGTAGCTTCCGAATCGTTGCAATCGACTTATTATTTAAGTAAAAGGTTTTAACAATACGGACGCGTTGTGGGATCGTGTAGCGCTCCATGATGAATTAGACACCTGTGCGTTAAGCAACTACGACGGCATCACCTACTAAAATGCGTGAATCAAAAATGGCACGCAATTTAAGTCAGTCGGTTATATATTGGCCACCCTGTATATAGACGTCAAATCTTCACTCACAACTTTCCAGGGGAAAATCATCGAATTATCATTATAATTTTACATACGGGACACTTTGCTGTAATAAAAATTGTCCTGCTGTATTGGAGTATCAAGTGGCGACGCGTGACTTTTCCGAAACTGTTACCAAAACCAGATGAGAAAAATCTTATTAAAAAAGGTTTTATTTTGAACCTCCCATGTAAAAGTTTTTGCTTATTTTAGGTATTGTATTTAAACTTTTTTTAAATTAAGGTAAACATTGCTGGGCTGGTCGTTTGCGGCACTTGATATACCTCATCGTCTTATGCTCTGACTAATTCAAGCCTTCCGAAAAACAGTACACGTTTCTAGATGTTGGGAAATTTTTTTTATCTTTTTTCGCAATTAATGTTAAGAATTCCCAGTAATTTCCTCTATTGTCAGAGTCATCCCCTTCAAAATGACCCCGAAATGGCCAAAAAATATACAGCATCTATAAGTGTGCTGCCTAAAATCTTGGTTAAGACATCATTTGATTCGTGTTTTGCCAAACTGAATCAAATTGGCTACACATCTCACATGTAAAGGAGAAATTTTATGTCTCCTCTTCAGAACCCTAAAACTTTTTAAATCGTTACTGGTCCACCCATTTTTTTTGTAGAAAACAGAAGACATGGCCAACAATACAATCTGTTTTTCTTGCAACCACATAACCAAGAGTTTTCAATATACCAACTAAATTTAAAATACCGAACTACTTTTTTTATTCCTTTTTAAAATTATCTAAAATAAGTTGGTATTCCATTTTCAATGATCTCCTTTTTTTCTTCAAAATTATACAAGGAGAATGACTTTTCAAGTAGTTAATCGATTACGCAGCGACACTCATCCATGTTTAATTGCACGCACACTACAGCCGGCAACCAAAACGATCACTAACGCTAACGTGGGAGAAGTGAGTAACCAAAACAAAAAATGATAACAAGCCTACATAATAATCCCGGCAGCCCAAGCACTTGGGCGACCGCGATCAGACACGAGCCGGCACCGACTGTCCCCGACAGACTATCAAGTGTATCCATAAACGAAAATGGTAACAACCAAGTCGAGGCGAGTCGGCTTCATCGCGTTCGCAAAATCTAGACAGTATTATAGGGAGCATTATTTTCGTGAGGCTAATCTGCTAATTACTGAATTACTAGTACATATAGTACATATACATACCAATGGTAACAATGGTTACATGGACGCTTCGCCACTGGGAGTATCTGAAAGATTATTGTAATTCCAGGTTCGTATATACACGTCGACGAATTTGCCAGCCCTGCGGAATTAGCCGCCTACCTCCATCGTCTGGACAAAGACCCGGTTTTATACAACTCCTACTTCAAATGGAAAGGCACTGGGGAGTTTATCAACACCTACTTTTGGTGCAGACTGTGTGCCATGATGCACGCCCCTCTGAGGAGGAGGCACTACGAGGACGTGAACGATTGGTGGCGAGGGCCTGGTGTGTGCACAACCAAGTCGTGGAGGAATGCCGAGTTTGTTTAGTTTTCATGATGAGTGTTTGGAATCAGTTACCAGTTCATCAGTTTTGTTCACAGATCATTTTCAATTCTAGGTGACTACATTAAACAACATACCTACGCATCGACGCTGTACTCGTGCAGAATCCTATAACAATCATCGGTCGCGCGAATCAGTCTACGACATGGTCGAGTATGTTCGGAAGTGTAGTCTGCGACATACCTTTTGCATTTGTTTATATTTTTGCCCAGTACATGAGAGAGAAAAACCTCAAATCAGAAAACCAAAGGCGTTGGATCCGAATAAATATTCCCGAAAATCTGCTCGGGAACCTAGCGATGAGAAAGTATTACCGTCATTCCAGAAAAATTGTTTCCGATCACAGATAGTAGGTATTGAAAACGTCAGTCAACCTCGACTGTCTGTATAGAACTAAGCACTGCGCCAATTGAGTATCAGAATTATTTCTTCATTTCCTGATGCTCTAATTACCGCTCTGAACGCACGTCTCAATACTGTAGGTACTATACTGTATACCTAATACCAGCTTAAACTGGGACTGCGGTGTATGGACAGACCCTTGGTGGTGCCGAACAATGTACCTATAGCCCAGTCAAGCTATACTCATTATTCACTTCTCGAAATTGATACCTGCCATTCGCTTTGAATTACGTTCAAGACAATTGTCTTGAACTAGGAGCTATTAGTGCTTTCTGCGTTAGTACGCTTTATTTAAAGGGAGGGGGCTGTGAAACTATTCAAAATCGTAGTGCAAAAATAAATAATATCTTCTATGTAGGGATGTTTTGAAAAGAAAAAAAAAACTCACTCGCTGCTTCTTACCCAAGGATTGGGTATCTAAATTAACAATATTTCACTCTGAAGCAGAAGCCAGGGGGGTATATGCCCCCCCTTGCCCCCGCCAATGGGCGCCCATGTTAAACATTATTTAGGTCCGCATTACAATTTATGAAATTTGTTATAAAACTTAATATCAGATTTGTATACAATTGGGTACCTCTCAAAATGGACGATGTGTTTATTTATTCAACAAATTAGGGACATTAGACAGAGAAAATAGACATCCACAGTATAGTTAAACAGACTAAGTTGTAAGCATTGCTGTTGATAATTTATATATACAGGGTATTCATTTGAAAGCCTTCCACCGCGGATTTATCGAAAACGCCAAGACACGTCAAAAGAGTTGTCAAGGGGAACAAAATGACAAGGGGTATCGAGTAATAGCTTGTTTGAAAGGTCTTTCGAAGTCCTTTATTTTGACATTTGATTTTTCAAAATCGGTCGATTCGTTTTCAAGAAATTTAGAAAACTCTTTATTTATCTTAATTTGTTCAGATAGAAAACAAAAGCACATGAAAAATCACTTTTTCTTTCAATAAGCGTTCAAAATGTTGCCCGTTATTGGCCAAATAATGACAGGTTCAAATTCCTGACGGACATTTTCAAAAACATGTTATGGGATATCATGGCAGCTTCCGATGATGCGAAGTTCATCCAAACTTCCAGGTTGGGGAATAAACAATAGATTTCAAATGGCCCCATAGAAAAAAGTCTAATGGCATCAAATCTGGAAATCTATCAGGTCATATCAAGCATCGGAAACGAAAAACAAAGCAAATTTTTTGGAAAAATGGAATGATTACGTTTTTTTACATCAAAAAGTATTTCGTTATAAATTATCTTTTCAAATATCTTCAAGGATATGCTGGGCTGCCAAGTGCTCGGCTAGTCATGCTAAGGGAAACAGTAGTGTAAGTAGCTCCGTTATTTAACATAACCTCACTTAATTTTGCCAAGCCTCCAATTTTTTATAAAAATTTGACACCAAATTCCATAGAAAAATTCAATAAAGTATAATTTGGAACTTATTATGAGGTTTTCATGTAAACTCCATGTAAAGTACAGATGAATGGTAATGGGAATACATTATCATGACAATGGCATGTTTTATATCGTGTAATGTCACCCTTAGACCTGTATCATACAGTAATGGCCATGCTATAAGTGTGTCGGATAGGTAAAGAGGCAGGAAAAATTTCAATAGACATAACGTAGCTCTGTTGTAGACTATACATCAAACAAGATTTACAAGGCAAAATTGTACGAGTATAACAATCTTGTGCTGCGCAAATCGTTGAACTACACAGTTGAGGATGTCCGCAAGTATATACTCTCAAAACTCTCATGCTTGTAGTGTATATGTCGGCGTCAAACGCTGAAATCCGTCATTTCCTGAAATTCCTAGTCAGTCCCCGTATTTCCGGCAAACACCGTTGATTATTACAACGTTTGACTAAGCATTTCAGTCATTCCCTGAAATGACAGAACAATTTCAGTCAAACACCGTAACAAGCACATAAACTTCGTTACTGCATTCGCCTATTTTAGTCAAACGCTGTAACCAATACAGTGTTGCTCCAATGAAGTGTATAATATAACAAGGTACTACTTTATCAATAATATTAAAAAAAATAATCAAGCATGAATTAATCTAAAAAGAAAGAAGAATACATTAAAACGTTGTCTTTATTATTACATTGTTTTTTTGAATTAAGTATTTACCTACTATATATACGAAGTCCAGCAACTGGATGCTGCTGTTGAGCAAGCCTATGTACGTTTTAATTTGGGTTAGGTTCACAAAATTATAAAAATGAACTTATCTCCTTTAACTCATTTGTATTAAATGTTTTTTATTCACACTGTCATAGTATTCACTTAGTTTCTTGTAAAACAATTCTGAATGCTACGACATTTTTACAAACACAGAAAAAACATTGTGAATACTCAAGCAAATGAACACAAAACTGGTACAATGAATGACTGAATCAGGCAAATGGCGCAACGAAGTTAATGTGGTTGTTACGGTGTTTGACTGAAGTTGTTCCGTCATTACAGGGAATAACTGAAATGCTTAGTCAAACGTTGTAATAATCAAACTGTTGCGGTGTTTGCCGTCAATACGGGGGCTGACTAGGCATTTTTAATTAAAGCATCCTGATAAATCCATTTTTTTGAGAATACGTGTACGTAAATTTTATAAAATTTCGCTCATAGTGTAATTGGCTTTTTAGATACTTTGAATACTTGTTCATTGTTTAACGCACATCCGGTGCATAGAAAATTGGAGTAGTTCTAAGTTACAAGAATCTTTTCAAAATTCAAGAAAGTCGTCTTGCGAAATTCATTTTAAATATTACGTTATATAGTTCGCTGCATGCGCTCATAGGATAACTGTTTATTTTGCTTAATGCGATGAAACATAGCAATTTCGCTTAATCACGATGGAGTTTTCCTTTCAAGATACAGGAGTATTGTTCTAAATCTTGCACTTGAGCTACCTCCACAAGAAAAGTCTATCGGGATCAAATCTGATGATCGCAGTGACCAAAACGAAATATCAACTTTAGCGGAAACAGCTCACGTCAAGTTGGTCCGTGGTGGTCCTTGCAGTGTGGCCGGTGGCCCCATTCTGCTAAAAATACTTTCTAGCCTATGACATAAAATTACTGGATATTATTTGCCAATATGCCACTGGACTATTTTCTGTAACGCATCTCAATAGCAGTCTCCGTCAATGCTCCAAGGAATATCCCCGATTCGAAGAAAATATTTATCACAAATTGAGCAAAATTGAGTCATCTATGCTTCAGCATTATGGAAATACGATTTTATGAGAGCGTGCAATGACATTTAGCATATTTGGTTAGTATTTTTCCTTTTGAATCGCAGATCATAATTCTGCCGCGGGACATCCTGTACTTGCAAGTCTTAAATTTTCATTCGAACTTAGCGCTTGCACGGCGATATTCTTTTGAAAATATGAAAATTACTTATATATGTTCCCTTAACGAGAATACAGATTGCTTTCATGTAGAAACAACCACCAGCTTCTAAATTAGTGACTCCGCGTTTAAGGAGCAGACTTTCTAGGTGCAATGTTTAAATTTTTGGTGATTTTGGCAAATAGAGAAAAACTACCTCGATTTTGGCAAGAAATTAACCAATAAATTGATATACCTACTCAAAAAATGGAAAATCGAGCAATTATCATATCTACATGCGAAAAATCTAGTTTTAATTGTATACTTAAAAACTGGGACAAACTGCATTTAGATTGTCAACTTAGGACAAAATGCATTTTGATTGCCTGCACTTAGCACCATAACTGACTTTGTAGTAGGGATGTAAAATGTAGATGTATGAAACTCGTATTTTATTTTGGAAATACGAAACAATAATTACAAATTTTACATGTCATAAAGGTCCCCAACGGCATCAATATTGCAATCGCAAAACATGTCAGCTTCTTCGTGAACGTCATCATCGTCAGTTTCATCTTGGTTAACTTGATTGACATTTCGCTCACGATTATCTGAAAGGATTGGCTGCAACTAGGTTAACTCAAGATTCTTGACCCAATTTGCCTCTGACAGTTCCACGAGCAGTTTCCGGAGGTTCTGTATTTTTTTGTTTTAATATCACTTTGAAGCGTTACAACGGCTAATTGTATAGTCAGAAGCTTCTATCCGCGTTTTAGTAACGTTTGAAATTGTATGGAGGGACTGTTATTTCTGTAAAACAACTCAGCAAAATATCGCTGTTGTTTTGTGGTCTCTTAATAATAATTCGTTTAGCAGCACTGAGCTCTTCAATTTTCTTTAAAGAGGTTAACGCAGTTGTTATATCGTAAACAACACAATCTTTACCAAGTTGTCGTACGCCTCCCTTCTTGGAGTAAATATAATAACATTGCGCATGTAGGTGTATTTATTGTACTGTAGGATCGTGTTACTTTTTCTATTTGTCCGAAAACAAGGTCTAATGGCAATTAATCCAGTCAGCAAGGACCAACCTCTTTTAGTTAGTCTACCGCTAATGGAACCTTTATCATTTAATTTGCATGGAGCAACATGAATTTAGAACGTCTTTTGTGGCAAAATATTATAGAGGTTTATATCTAGTTTGCGATCTTTGGTCGGAGATGCTCAAAAATGAACAAATTGCCTATATAAAGTCTGCTCCTCGTTTGAACTTTAGTTCGATCCAATTTAATCAACTTTGTTCTTATTTTCCCCATGAAGCTTATATGAAATCTTGATTTAGCTACTGGGTATTTGGAAATAAAGGTTAACTTATGGCTTGAAAAGCCAAGTTACGAATACAAATTTCAATCAAAAGCTTTTTTTTATGTATTTCTTATTTCGACAAAACCTTTCAAAGTAGCATGACGTGTTTATTTCAATTGCATTATATTAGAAAGACGATGGACTGTTCACTCACTCACTCGGCTTAGAGTTTTTTCAGAAATTTAGAAAATGACTGTTTAGATGGAATTCCATATTAGGTTATTAATGAGGGTGAATTGCACAAGCCTTTGATCTGTGCAGGTATATTTATTTCTCATGAAACTGTAACGATTCATTCATTTGGAGCTTTGAAAAGTTTGTACTTCAGTAGACGTGAAAAACATTTATTACAATTTATATCAGAGTCGCTAAAAGCTAGGTAGTTTATTTTGTATTTTCACATCGTCAGTTTCATATGAATTTCTTCATACTGCAGTTGTGGCAGAAGTATATTAGCTTTCCAGTGTTAAAATTTAAAGCGTGTACATTTTATGCATTTGATATCATTATACTTTATCTCTGATCAAATTTGTATCTATTACCTGTGAAATTCATTTTATAAAAAACATATTTTCTTGTACTTTCTATGTAATGCAGTTATACATTTGTAGGTTCCAAACTATGCTGTGGTTAATCGCATCACCTGCTTGTCAAGTATTTATGATTTTTAAGACGTTTGGCTAAAATAATACGAATGCCTAAAATCATAAAACAATATCCTTGGTATAACTGACCTTATATAGAGGAACATTTAACTAATATATTTCCACATCAAATTGACTCACCCTGTATATATCTTCCCAAATCGAGGGTATAGGACTGACGACATTTAAATATATGTACTTACTGTTTTGCTACAACTGATAAGCCTTATGGTATTTTTTCACCCTCAAATAGCGCACATCTCCATTTACGATTAGTGTTTTTTTGTTGAATATACTTGTTGTGTAATTTAATGATAATAAATATTATATAATGTTTTTATTACAAAGCAGAGTTTTATTCCGATGTATCCTTCACCACTCACGAAAAGGTTCAGGTTTGTAGGTGTACGAAGTTTCCAAAGATTCTAAATTTTGTTTTTTCACATTTCTCGTCATTTAGAGGGTTCCTCAAGCAAAACTATTCCGAATATCACTTTATTTCATTTTTATACAAACTTGCAGAGAACATAATTTTCGAGTTGCCCAATGTTAGCAGAACTAGGAAAAATCTCCTCAGGTAGATTGTTCCGTAATCTAGTAGGAAAAAAGGAGCGATCGTACCGGCTAGTTTTGGAGGTACGAAGTAAACAGTGCTGGGGTGGGAGGCAAACGCCTGGCGGTTCCGTCAACGGGCGGCAGAAGCATGGAGGGGAGCGCTGAGGAGCAAAACCCATTGTCTTAGCGGAAGTACAGAGCAAGATCGCCGACCGCCGCTCAGTGCGAAAGGGTCCTTTAGTGAAGGTTCATCGATTAGTCGAACAGCCCTCTCGATAACAGCATCGAGTATGAACAATGTAGTCGGGACGGCAGCACCCCAAAGATGTACTGCTCACACTCAAGGCTAGGTTTTACCTATGTAGAGAAAAACACTTTTAGCCCTAAGCAAATAACATACAAGGTCTGAAAATGAAGTGATGAGATTGATTTTTGATTTTTCTTAATCAAATATGATTACAATTTTATATTGTCGCCCTCGAAATAACTCCCTTCTGAAGCCAAACAGCGCTGGTGTCGTTTTTTCCACTCCTCATAGCAGTGCTGGAACTCCGATAGTGGAATAGTCTTCAGCTGGTCGATTACAGCCCTTTGAATGTTTTCGACTGTCCCAAAATGAGTCCCCTTGAGGCGATTTTTCAACTTCGGGAAGAGACAAAAGTCATGAGGACTCAGATCAGGCGAATAAGGAAGCTGAGGAGCCACAGAAATGTTTTTACTGCCCATAAGCTCATTTATTGACATTGCTGTGTGACAAGGAGCATTATCGTTGCACAACACCTAGTTGTTCTTGATCTGATGAACGGTGGTGTGAGTTAAATTTAAGTCTTTCCCGATCATTCTGACTGTCAACCGACGCAGATTTCGGAAGATAGTTTCATCTGTTCTTGAATATGAAGGCAATCCGCTTCGTGGTTCATCTTCAATCGACTCTCTCCCTTCTGAAAAATACCTTAAACCACCGAAAAACCTGGGCTCTTGACAAAACATCTCCGTAGGCCTGCTAAAGTTTAGAAAAACTTGTTCACCAAAAAAACTCACTGTGGACAACCAAATGCCTGGAGCGAGTTCAAACTTAAGGCGGATCACATGTTCCCCTGTCTCCGCTCCAAACTCGATGCCTCCAGTGTTGCCAGATCGAACGCTACGTTGCTAGTCTCATTACTTAATTTACAGACCTGGTAGCTGTTGCAATTGACATTCGTGGCAGATCAAGTCATCGGTGATCTGGACTCCGACCAGCCGAAATCAGAGGCAGTCTCGTTTTGCGAAAAAAAGATGTCGCAGTTCTAACTTGCCATGTGGAGCTCTTCACGAGCCTAAGAGAACCGTTTCTTCATCGCATGACTTGTCAATTCTCCGCTGCTCAGTTCCTTTAGAAACTGGTACACCAAATTCTTGAATCAATTGCCTTTTTTTGCGGCAAAATGGACTGGTTTTGCTTCAAGTTTATTTTTATTCCATTAGTGGCTGACTTAGAAACATTTGTTCTAAATGCTATTTGCCTTTGTGTGCTGGAGAAGGTTTTATTCTCAGTTTTTTTTCTGGTGGCTAATCGCAGCTGTGACCCATATTGGGAGAAAAACGATATTATAATATTAAATTATAATTATTAGAACAATATTTAAAATAATATTACTTACATTTTAGCTACCTTTTACAGCAGCATTATCTCAATAATAACTTAGTTTAAAATATTCAAACTTGTCTTCGCTGAGTCGCGTCTGCAGTACCTAGTGGCCTTCATTGATTTAACAATTAGTAAAATCAAATGTACCTGACGTGTAACTTTCAGCATCCGCTAATGTATGAAGTTATTGAAGTACGTTGAACATAAATCTATCCTCCAGTCACACGTATACAACTCAAAACTGTAGTAATTGTACCTAAAGTCATAAAACGCTAGAAAATCTGGAATACATTAGCCTCATGGGGGCTAATAACCCCTTCTACCCCCTTGTCCACTTCAGTGTAAACATTTTGGCAGACAAGCCTTCCGTGATATTTAGTAGGCGTACCATTGACCCTCGAAATAAAGCCTCCGCTTCTCGAATCACCCTGTAGGCGATATTATGAGATCCATGTATATGAGCAGGTATGTATCATTAATTTGTTTTTTTCGAATCCATTCCATTTAACTTATGAATGATTGTATAGATCTTATAATTCGAGTGATAAGATTAAAATCCACGCACATTAATGGTTGATTAAATCATTATCAGCCATATGTGATTTTTTCATTTATATGTGCTGTTAAGGGAAACTTTTGCGAAATAGATTCAGTTTTGAATGTGATTTCGATAATCGTGGATTTGCATTCCTCTATATTTGCGAGTGCTACAAGAGTGCAAACATGTAAGTGAATTGTGGTAGGAAGTGGAGACAAGATCATGAAGGTACTTCATACTAGCGAGGTTATTAGATCTTCTTATATACATATGACAAGTAAATATACACGTAGATATGACAACAGTGATACATTTCAAGCATTACCGCTTGTCTATGTTTAGGATTTGGATTCCTTCACACATTTATGGAGTAAGATTATACAGTCGTTTCGAGAAACTTACATGGTTTCTCTTGATACTACATAAGTCTGAGCCAGGTCGATTTCCCGAGTAACACTACCAAAAGCAGACCTATGCCCCTTCATTTATCACGATCGCGGTACATTGATATTCAAGCCCAAGTCATTGTTTGAGACATACTTTCCTAAAAATCCTCAAAATTGTACACAAAATAATGCTAAATATGCAGATTTTAACGTCTAACCGGCTTCATTTCCGTTGGCCTAAATAGTAAACAATCCTATGGCAAGTCGTTGTTTGAGAGATACTTTCCTAAAAATCTTCAAAATTGTACACAAAATAATGCTAAATATGCACATTTTAACGTCTAACCGGCTTCATTTCCGTTGGCCTAAATAGTAAACAATCCTATGGCAGCATTATGTCGCATTCACACATTGGAGCCAACGTTGGGGCCAAGATGGTATGATATGCTATCCTTCAGCGTCAACCTTGGCCAACTTCGGACAAAGCGCGTTGTTTAGCGTTGACATATTGGTGCTGGCCTACGTTGGCCCAATATGGGAATTCTATATAAGGGTTACTTTTATAAATAAAAAAAATTGCTTAATTAGTTTTCCTGTAGAGCAAAGTGCCTATTAGAAACACCTTCCCTCGATGAATAAATTACAAGATACAGCATTTTATCGAACAATCTTATTAACTTAATTATTAACCTAACTGCAACACGTTCCAATTATGAGTGGTGTTAAGGTGCTGAATGAACATGGAGCTGACTATTTAACAAACCCTTTGCGTCCTAATGGTCTTCTAAGGTGGTTTCGAATTCATAGCCAGCTTACTTGGTATTTTGGCATTTCCATGATAAATACGTTTTTTTCCTTTTCTTTTATACTCCATCTACCACGAAGGCCTAGGGCCTAAAGGCCCATGTGGTACCGTTGGGCTGTATAGGGTTGTCTCTGAGTTACGACTTTTATCAGCAATGAAATGATAGCAAACAAAATAGTGACAACATAGCTTAGCTGGTAGGAATACCAGGTATACTTACATGCGCCTTATGGAAACGTAAGAATTCCGATGTGGCAATTTGAATCAATCTCAACAAGAGTTGTGTATAATAATAGTACTTTCCAATTGATCATTTACTTGCAGCGATTTTTACCTCGGTGTAATACAAGTACGGTTGAAAAACATTAAGAACATTCGCTTTTGCCATATATTGATGGCTAGTTTCCCGGAAATAGCATATCCTCCACGATAATAACCATACGTACACAGTATGTTACAACGACTTTTACACAGATGGGGTAACAATAGGGAGTGTAAATGGCAGGACCAGCTAAGTGTTACCTGGTGAGGATATCCTCATCAAAGGTGTTACCGGTTCGATAAACAGGGGATGGGGAGTCAAGTTACATGTTGAATTTTTTCATTACTCAGGTGTCATTGAGCGGGTGGCGAGATTTATACTATCTATGATGTATAATACTGGTGAATATATGACCGGTAGTTTAGTACTCAGTAGCACTAATTCAATATATCCATAATATGCAATCAACGATTTCATAATAAAAAGATACATCTGCCTATACCAGAGATACATTTCTAACAGGAGCGAGTGAACTTCAAAATGGAGGAAGTACCAGAGGAGCCAAAGCTATCGAAAGTTAGTGCCAAAGATTTGTCTTTACTGAGTAGTGAAAATCCCTTGGATGAGGACAGTCCAGTGTCTGAACTAAGAAGAGATACGTTCGATGACAGAAAGTGGAGGTTATCATATTTGAAGGTAAGTTGTACTTCTTCCAGACAATTTAGTTATGTTTGTCTTTCTAGCATATAGAAAAGGTGTAGCGAGCACCAAAGAACTCCAATTCCTTTCTTGAGGTTACATCAAATAACACACTGTTACATGCAAATCTTCATGTCAAAACTGTGGAATATATCTGAAAGATTAAAGTTTGATACAATGGTTTATATGATTAGATCTTTTGAATTTCTTTCAGATTATTCTTTTTGGTATAATTCTATTAACCAATTCACTGTTATTGCAGACACAGTTCAAGTCATATGAACTACAAAACTCCTTCAAAAAATACACAAGGAAAATAAATCACGGATACTTCTCAGTATTTTTGATACTGTTTCTTATTGTTTGTACTATTCATGCAGCAGTATTATTTTTTTCTACGTGCTCCAAGAAGGTAAGACAACTACAAGATGTGTATGTGTATCACTACTATAATTTATAATTCCGTGTTAACCTAGCCATTGAGTAAAACCACATATATAGATGGAAAAATTTACTAACGTTTCGGTCACTGAGGCTAGTAAATTCGTCAGTGAGACAATCACAGGGTGGGCTTCGTATGTTACATTACCTATGATACATATATGACTTTAGTCATGGAATTGAGCTATTGTAGATCGGTGCATGATGGATGATATTACATGGTAGCAAAGTAAGTTAAATAATACCTGCTTTTTATTTGTGAAGCATGAGACTTTCACTAAGTGAGAACTTCAAAGCCTAAACAAATATTGTTCTGTGAAACGCATAACACTGTCTGATATTAATAAAATTGCATTTCCCGAAGTCCTCTAATCCTTCTGTATTTTAGCGAATATCTAATCTATTTCAGGAATATATCTCCTCAGTTCTACCTGATCTCATTATATACGTATGCTGTGCACTGCTCTGTCTGATAGGCTTATTCGTCGTTGACAGAATTGCAAAAAAGTATGGCAACCTGCATCGAATGTCCTTGTTCGCTCTTTTCGTAGTATTTTCCATGAATATCTTCGTGCCCTGGTACCATAAAGAATTCAAGAAGGACCTTACATGGGTGAGACCGGTCTACACCTGTATTTTGACCATATCTTGCTACGTATTTTTTGATATCTTCAGTACCCTCAAAGCACTATGTATGGGTTTGGCTGTGACTAGTTTTGGTATGCTGACAACGTACTTCTGTACAGACTACAAAGAATTAGGGAAGGTAGGTACCTGCACCTACACATTATTCTGTAAGCCGAAATTTGACTAAAATAAGAGATTTACGGAACCGTCGTCTGTCCCGGATCCCATATAGGACAGCGACATATGCGGCCATGGCCAGTGCATCAAAAAGTTGGTCCAAAGTTTTCAAAAGGTACATTTTCGACCATTAAAGTCCAAAATCTCCAAAATGGAACATCATAATTGTATGGAAAGGACCACGCATTACACTTAACGAGAAGGTTGAAAAAATAATAATAATAATAAATGGCCTTTATTTTACCTGGCGGGTTACATCAGCACAAGCTGTTTTTCAGAACCAACCAGGGCTAAAAAAAATTCAAGTACATGCAAATACAAAAAAATACACAGAAGATAATAAGAAAATTTAAAGCAGAAAATTTTTTTTTACAGAATCGTAGCCTATGTATTGTATAATGACCAAAAGAGAAACGTGCATCAACAGAGTATGTAGCAGAATCAAAAACCATGCTTAAAAGTAACTTTAAAAAAAAATATTAGGTATATGGCGGAAGATATAAAAATTAAAAGTAAACAGTAACAAATTCGTAAACAAAACACAAACAAATGAAAAGTGACAAGTGAGAAAACATGCACAAATAAACGTATCGGTGGTATTGCTGCAACTTTGACTCTACTAGTTAAGGCAAGCCCTGGCTAATATTATGGTAAATCAATAGACAATAGATATCCAAACAGTTAAAAAAATAGTTGGGGGGGGGGGTGTTGATTGATTTCTTTATTTCAAAAGTTGATGCATATACATACTGGCTTCAAGTCGGTCCAATACTCATCTCCGAGCTTTTATCACATCGTCATTGTGAATTTCTAGAAATACTCCCTCGTAGGGATTTTAATTTGGAGGGTAGCAAGGGGAAATAAAAGTAAAAATGAATGCGTCTTGCGATAACAATTCTTTTGACTGGTTTGTGAGGTAATTAGCTCATTCAAATCATAAGCTACGCCCTCAGCTTTAAAAATGGTGTCAAGCAGGTTGATTCTGCACTACCTACGTAACGCTGTCATCAGTTCGTAGACGATTAAGTTCAGCACAAATTGAACCCTCCGAGAGAAATTAATTACGAATATGTACAACAGAGGAATTGAACGGATCAAGTCAGTCAAATAGGCACATCCAATTAGTCCATACACATTCTTTCTCTGCCCTACCTGTAGTCACCGTCCATATGGTAACGTTTTCCCTTTCTATACCGTCAGACGCGGCAACGCCCACCGAAATACCGCCACATTTCTCTATCATTAGATAGAAGTAGGTTAAGTTGTGAAGACAAATGTCCGGGGAAACCTATGAGGTCTGAAATATAGCTAATAGGTGCGTAGAATTACCGGTTTTGAGACCGTTTAAATATATTAGCATAAAAAGATTGAGATGTACGCTCCCTCACCCCTACAACCACCCACCCGCTAATTTTCTACCCCTAAAATTGTTTTCAAAAATATTTGAAATGTCAAAAAACGAACCTTTAGCGATTTTTATTTTTTTCATTTTTGGTCTCTTTCTCCGCTACTCCAAAGCTTTTTTGTTCTTGGAGTAGTAGTAACCTTGTGTAAAAATTTCATCCAAATTCGCTCAGTACCAAGTTATAGATGGGCAAGGATTAGCGTACAGACCGACCGACAGATAGACACTCATTATGAGTGCCATCTTTATGGGCGCTTTGCGATGCACTGAATAGATTTGGTCGACATCACTTGGAGTACACAACCTCTAAGTTTGGAGCAAATCCACAGAAATACAGTTTTTCCAATAAGTGTGACGGATGATTCTTTCAAAGGTGCTAAAAAGACTTGGGTTGAACACTAAAATCCAAATCCGAAATATTTTATTCTGAATTGTAATCGAATACCCAACATTCGAATATAATGAAAAAAGTATTTGGATACCGCTGTTTTGAATAGGTACCTGGATTCATTTGAACATATGAATACTTTTTGTATAACGTATGTCCTAAAAGTTTTGGCACAAAATATTTATCGTTTTTGTTTTTGATGAAATTTATTTAAACACATAAATTACAACACAATACTTAAATAAACTATTCTATCGAATTATGTGGAGTGGCCCATCCTGCTCTACGGGACGCAACTTTCTTGGAATGTCTCTTATGAAGTCCTGGGCGGAATTTAGATCAATTATTTCTCTCAGTTTTTCGTAAATTCGCCGTCTTAATTGTTCTTTATCTTGGGCTTCCCAGTCTCCATGATAAACCACCCTAGACAGTAAAGCTCAAAAATCCTCTATTGGACGAGCCTGGGTTAAGTTTGGAAGATTATCGCTTTGGGAACAAAAGGTATCTCTTGAGTAATGGCATGATGCTAGGTCTGGCCAAAACATTATGGTAGTATGTCACGTGCTAAAATCACGTAACCTTTCTTTTCACTGTTTTGATCACTTATGAGTAATTTGAATTTCTCTTCACTGATAGTAGAGTACCGATTCTTAGACCAAACCTTTTTTTCAATGATTTTCTTTTATCGAGTTTCATAGCGTATTGATTGTAGAATTTCACATGTACCTGTCATTCTCAGCGACTTAGTATGGTGTTGAAATCTTTCTTCCATCTGAGAAATTTCCTCATAAAATATTGTTGGTCCCTCGTAGACAGATTTGTTTCTGCCTACAATCTGCCCATCGGCAACCATCTTATGATGTTTATACGTACTAGCCATATATGAATGTTTACCTTCCTATCAAGATACCTCCTGTTAAAATTTGCTTTACTACCCAGATACGTTGTTTACCGGCTTTTATCTGTTCCTTTTGATGTTCCGTCGAACGTGCCTTCTTCACTGCCACTTATTCAACCTTCTTTTAGGGGGTTGCGTGCGCAGACGGCCATTTTACTTTCTACTGTAGTTTTGGTTGTGTGCGGGCGTTTTTTTTTGTTAACTTCCAGATTTTGGGATATGAACGCCCCAAGCACCAGTTTATGGAGTAGTACCCTTTTATTTTGTACCTTACGTTTAGTTGTGTTGATTTGGGTACTACCACTCGTCCATTTTTTGTATGGGATTTTAACCTGCAGCGGTAAGTTCTCTTTCGTATACCATTGGACTTACGTCCTTTAATGCTTGTCCAGAAGAAGTTTGTTCAAAATCTGATTCCTATTAGTGGAAAGCCATTGTGGAGAACCACCATTCACACTCCTCCAGCTATATTTGTAGCTGCTGTTTCGCAGCCGATTTTGTTATATTAGCTATTTCTTCCGCTTTATAAAAAACCTGATGTGAACAGGTAAAATATTATTTTAATTGGGTTTTATATATCATATATATATTATATTATATATTTTCTTGTCCTTGCAGAAAGAAAAGTAAATTTTTAGTAACAGAGAATGTACATGGTTTTTCTTCAAGTTTGAGTCTTTTAAATGTGTAGTTCCGTCTCAGACATAGAGTAGAGAGTAGATTTTTAAACAATCTTTTTCGCTCTCTAGGGTTTTTTATACCATAAATTTTGAGAACGAGGCCAGCAGCCCCTACCTCGTGACATTCCTTACGTCACTGCTCACTACTGGCCACTGATGTTTGACCTGAGTTTTTGAGAGCTGAGAACATCACAGCTACGTCTAGAGCCGTAACTGGAAGACCATTGTCTAGATAAGTTTAGGCTAAGGCGTTGAAATATTTGTAAGACCTATATTTGTAAAGCCTTTGTACGTGTACCATGGTAAACGTTTTGCACGGTTAGTTATTACGGTCAGGTAGTTTCTAATATCTTTTCTTTTAAGTTGCATTCCAGTGGTATATGTGCTGCTTGTTTTGGCAATATATTGTGATTCTTTTTAGATATCTTGTTTTATTTGGCTCTCTGTATACAGTTAATTAAGTTTCAATTAGTATTAGATTTTTTTTTCTTTGTGTGGTGGTCAAGCAAAACAAGTTCCGACTAAAAACTCGGGGATTTGTGGCTTAATCCGTCTTGAGTCACTTCGCGCTCTTAACCCCCCCCTACTCTCCGCTTTATTGAGCTAGGGTCTAAATTTGCACGTCACTTGTCAGCTGTTTTGCTTTGACTGATCTTTAGATTTCATTTATAGTAATTTCTTAATTCATTAATTAATTTAAAACAAGGAAAGAGGAATCACACCACCATTTCCTCATATCTATAAAAAAAGGCGTGGTAAGTAGCATGATGTTTGTGGACAAACTGAAGCAATCTCTCTTCCCGCAAAACGTTAGGGATACTAGGACATTCCCCTATGTTGTCCGTATAAAATCCGTCGTTTGCTTCATTTCAGAATTACTCAAAGTAAAATACTTTTCGTCATCTAAAATAATGATTTTTCCATTGGCAAAGTGCATCCGCCTCAGTTGACGACACCATCATGGTATACGAAGGAGTAAGTGCACGTGGTCTTCCACATTTTGGGAGATCCAGACATGGTATTCCCTGCTCGCACATCGCTATTGTTCAATAAATGGTTCTGCGTGAAATGTTTTCATTCTGGAATGTTCGGCAGAGTTCAGCTTTGAGTACCCGACCAACCAACTTGTATACACTTTTCCTTATTTCTAATTTATACATCTTGAAGCGAAAACTTCAAAACTTCAAAATAAATAAATGTCAATTGACAGTAAAGTAAGTGAACAAACTTTTATTTCCAAAGGTAACTCGATATTATTTTGTGTTTGTTAAAATTAAAGCTAATGAAGTTTGTGCCAAAACTTTTAGGGCATACGTTATTCCAAGAAAAAACATATGTCCACTTAAATCTCGATTATGAACCTAGATTATAAAAACATTAGAAATACATTACTAACTAGACTAAATAAAACCTAAGATAACATTTTGATACATAGTGTTACATTGAGGTTCGACAAATTAATTGAATAATAAAAAACATTTAATTTTTATAGACAATTAATATAATGAAATTCAATAAGAAAATATATGAATCTCGCACAACCTACATAACTAAATGATAAACTTACCTTCTTATGTATCTACTTTATCTCTAATCTCACACAAATTATAAAAAGTATTAATTTTTTTTATGAAATAGAATGGTAATAGTGCACAGGCACAAGTGGATACGTAATCTAATCTCGTTCCTCAAACCACCTGTCCGCGTCGCAAATTCAGAAGCACTACCGTCCACACAAACAAAACAACTTTGCGTAGCTGTTTTGTCTTTGTGATGCACAACCACCGAGAACGTGAACATGAACAAGTTCCGTAAAGCGTGACGCAGTATTCATAAAAATAGTCAAACAGTAATCGGAAGAAGGATTCCAATACAGGATTCGACTACTGAGATTTGAGTAGGTAGTGGATATTCGAATTTTGAGATTCAGAAACGGTGTTCAAGTACCGAGTACTGGCAAAAAAGTATTCAGTCAAATACCAAATAGTAAACACATAAATATATTCGAATACCAGAGAAATGTATTCTGTATGGGATTCAAAATACCGAGTATTCAAATACTACCCAAGTCTAGTGTTGAATAAGCACAATAAGAAGAGTAAGCTGTCAACTTACCATGGCAACCTCATTACCGCAAGTCAGTAATTTCCGGTGTGACCTTAATACATGGATGCAATTTGATAATTGTCGTTTTTTTCATAAATCGAGGCAACGGCTCATCATATCCTAGTTAATATATGTATAAAAACTATTCATGGCTTTGGCTTAAGCCAGTTTAGAAATCTGATTAATCTTGGGATCAAAGGGAATAATGGGTGGGATAATAAGGTTCAACCGGTTTCAGTTAAACCGGTTTAAGGAAACGTCTGGCGTACGTGTCTTCAGTCGTGTGAAAAGGTCACCCAAGTCCGATATTCACAACCGTTTGTCGAGCATTGTTGAGTGACAATGCCGCACGACTCGAGTCGCGTGCATAAATGGGCTTTTAGCTTATCTTTATTTATCACTACATCATTAAAGGTTGTAGCAGATGCCACATTTTTATTGTGTCTAAATGCCCTGGGAATTTATTTGAGACTCATGAACGAGGTGACCGTCAGAAAAAGCTTTTTGGACAGACGAGATTTCATTACATCAACGCACCAACTTAGATTTGAGAAAAATCAGATGGTTAGTATCATCAAAGTTTGTTATCTGAGTAATTTGAAATATGTGTATTTTATACAGCATCACTATTGAATCGACTTACTAGTTGTGTGACTTTTCAGGACCAATTGATGTCAAGCATAATTCCAAGATACTTGATAAATAAGGTGGTCGATAATTACATACAAAAGGAGTTGTTTTACGCAAAGAATAAGCAAATTCGAAGCAAAAACCCATTCGAGTAGGTACTCGAATCAATAAACTGTAAACAAAGCGACTATGATACTGTCTTCGATATTTTAGGGACATGTCTTCGTTGCTAGATGAACATGATAATGTGACGATTCTCTTCGCAGATATTGTAAATTATACGAAAATGACTCAACAACTTAATGTCACAGATTTGCTGGAGACATTGAATGAGATGTTTGGAATGTTCGATGAGTACTCAGAGGTAATGTTACTGAAAATGGTTATCACTACATATGCAGCACAAATAAAAAGTGGAATGAATCTTGAAGAGAGATTTCGTTAAAGTCATCTATATAGGGCCCATCCATAAAGGGACGAAATATTGCTTCTAAACACAGTCCTTCCGTGGAAAACTATTTATGATTTATTATAGCACATTTACAAAACACTCACAACTATACAAGGTATCCCAACTTTGGCCCACATGTCAAAGATGACTTTTTCTAATATAATTCCTGAAACTTATCCTGTGGTTTTCACGTTCTGATCGAATCAAACCACATGTTTTATTTTTTCTTTATTGCATGATGTTTCGGCCACCACGGTGGCAGTTTCCAAGTACAATGACAGTTTATTTTTGTTCATCTTCTCAAACGGGAATGCCTACCCTAGATAATACTACGACCGCAGCATACTGCATAGGAATAGAAAAGAAAACATTCTGCATTCTGTATAGGCGGATGGGCGATCAAACAAGATCATAGCAGTCGAAAAAAGGAAACATAACATCACTGGAAGATAAATAAAAATATACTGTCATTAATTGTCATTGTATTTAAAAAAGGCTACCGTGGTTTCCGAAAAGTCGTACAATAAAGATAAATTAAAACATATCGTCGCTCCACTTGCATGAGGGCCTATCTCAAAAACAGCAACTTTTTCTTGGGCGTTTCGAAGGTTTTGTTTTAAGTTTACGTTAAAGATAGATGGAATGTATTCAAGTGAGACTTTCAATTTTTTTAATGTTGCTCGGGCAGCCTATATTTAATATGGTTCTTACTTCACCATATTCATATATTTTGCGCTTTTTACTTATTTAAATCTGAATGATATATATATATATATATATAGATGGTACCCTCTGCGGCGTAGCGAACGAAATAGACACCGCTATTCAAGTGATATGTCTTTAACAAGAATGCATGAAAATCACCAATGCACATCAATTACCTTCTATGATTTGCATCTTTAACTTGCATAAACACAGTGTGTGAAATGACAATAAACTATACTATAGTTGTAGTCACCGCTCTTGGCGATTACGTCATCAAGGCTATATGAAATAAGTAAGCAGATCGAGTCTCCGTACCATGGGCGGATCTTAATTTTCTTAACTGAGGTAAACCGATTCAAAATTATTTACTAATCGTAATTCTCAAAAATCTTCTAGACTGGTATAGTTGAAGCCACCGTTCTTGGCTGTTACGTCATCAACGCCATATGAAATAGGTAAACATATCGAGTTTTCGTACCATGGGCGGATCTTGATCTTCAGCGCATATGCTACTCTCTCCAGTACATATGAAGTGGGTAACAGGAGACTGCTCGTTTTCATTCTCTTCCTGGAAATACTCTAATAAATTTAGCACCAGCTGTCGGCCTTCTCCATTGATTGTATCTCCAGCCATTGTACAATTTTATATTGAAGACTGATAACAGGATAGCTCAAATTGCACGCCGATGTCAAGTAGGCTGTCACTGACAAATATGATTGAAGGGCACTCATTCGTAACGACAAAGTTTTCGAGACTTCGACACACAACTAAAAAACGTGTCTTTGAGCTTACCGAACAAACGTTCACACACAGGGGTAGGTTGCATGTGTATGTATGAGGGAGGCGAGATATATAAAGGGATACTGGAAGTCTTACTTTGACCCGCCAAGAACGGTGACTACCATTATACTACTTCTACTACTACTAATGATTTTCTTCTAATATAATCTATTATAATTTTTACGTTAATACAATCCGCAGGAGATGCTCCTGTAGCTTCGGTAAAAAATCGGGCTCATCTGGAGATACGTCTGCTTGACAGATTCTGTTTAGGACAATCTCATTATCTCGGAATACGCCTTCATTTGAGAATGTTTTCTGGCTAAAAATGATATACGTTTTCATGAAACACCAACTCGTAGTGGCATTGGAGATACTTCCTTTTGTCAGATCGTGAGCCGGACTTATGTGATGCCGAATCTATCAATATGTCAGTTTAACGAAAAATTTCCGCAAGGGCAGCGACGAATATGTGCGGTTTGTTGCGGCCATACAATGACTTTTTTGATTCTTGCTGATGGAATGCTCTATTTTTTATTATTTATTCAGACATACGCTTCAAAAGAGTATTGATATAACATACCTAAGGGCTTTGATTACTACTCGTTGAGCTATTGGATATTCTGTTTGAGAAAAAAAACATTAAAGTTTGTCAGATGTCGTAGTTAATACTCTGTAAATTTTTTTTATCCTCAATTTATAATATAATACAGTGTGGTCAAAAACGCACTATTTCTCAACAAAATTGAATGGAACACCTATACATTTTAACATTTTTTATTCCACAGTTTACCAGCTTTTCCCTGGTATAATGGTCAAGGGATATTTTGTGGGTAGTTTTGAAGTTATTGTTAATCCTTCAATAGGTTTTGGCAACAGCATGCAAAGGATATAAAATATCACATCGTCCAATGAAAAATAGTGGATAAACCTACCATGCAGAATGTAGGTAGCAGAATACATGTAGCATTTCTGGATATAAGGAAGCACATACTGGGAAATATTAAATCATCATTTATTCAAATGTTTTGATTCCAGTTTGGGCAACAAAGGGATACTTTAGACCTTCAGAACATATTCATCTCTGTAATTAGTACTGAGAATGTATTTTATAAATGCACTCCAGATGAAATGTTTCCGTTTAGAAGCAATATTTCGCTGCATGAATGGAACACCCTGTATATTTGTGATGGCATAATAATGAAACAGTTTTGTCGAGTTGTAGCAACAAAGTCTATTGTAGGAGCTGAAAGTGAGCAGAATAAATTTTTAGGAGACTGCTACTACTGTGTGGCAGGGCTTCCACCAAATTATGCTGATAATCCTGCTGAAGCATGCGTTGATTTAGGATTGGCTATGATTTCGGTTATCGAAGGCGTAAGGTATGACCTAAAAGATAAAAGACGCATACTACATTTGAAATATTTATGAATTTATCTAAATGGGAAAAGTAAAACTTCATTTATTTAAGAAAACGACGTAATCTGAATATCAACATGAGAATTGGCGTTCACACAGGTAAAATTACAAGTGGCATAATTGGTACTGTGAAATATCAGTTTGATATTTGGTCCAAAGACGTAGACATAGCCAATAAAATGGAAAGCTGTGGCAGTGCTGGGTAAGACTATTTTATGTCATAATCAAAAATATATATTAATGCATTTAAAGATCAGCAACTTATGCTATGACCTGAGACAACTGATAAATATTGTTGCATGTCTTTCTTCTATTGATCTGCAAGATAATACATATGACACTATAACAAAAGCTTATATTGTTCCACTGATTGACTGGTTTGCAAAAAAGATGTATATATTTCATTGCTGTTTTTAAAATCACATCATTGAAAACGAGATTTTGTTTGTTCCCTACTTGGTATTTTCCAGGAAGGTTCACATTACAAATAAGACGAAGGAATTGTTAACGAAGGAATATCACTTGATGCCTACAAACAGAGGTGAAACAGAAGCTCAACTGCAGCAGTACAACTTGCAAACATTTTTGATTTCTCCTACTTACGTAAGCTCCTTGTAGCATTAACTATTGTAGCGCCCTCGTAAACTAGATGTCCCCGCAGTATCGACACTTAGGCAACCACAATTACGCGACCATATATGGAGCGCGTTCGCGAACATTCGACATGCTTAAAGAGAAATCGACCACCATCTCCGGCTTCGAATTGAGGTCTATTCAGAAAACGCGGGATGCTTCGACGCTCGTCGATTCGAACATAAATACCCGTCCAGAGGCCGGAAGAGTCAGTTACAGTCAACGGACAGCGACGGATGAGTCAATATGCTATAGTCCAGTCGATATGGTTGTACATTTGTCATAAATTAGTTGCTGGTGTTGTTATAAATTAATGTAAGAGTAATAGAGAGACTTTAAATAGTAAAAATGGTGTTTCCGTTACACTATTAATATGAGAAGTTGAAGATATGTTGACAACGGTTTCTGTTTTACACATTCGAAGAATCTCTTTTATTAGTCTTCATTTGTTGAAATTGGTAGATTCGGAGACCACCTTTTCAGAATAGGAATCATTAAGAATATTTGGTACGACTGTGTCAACACCAAATTGTCAGATTTGAACCTTATTGATCTTGAATGCACATGAAATGAGACCCATGTTACTTATTTAATAGAAAGATTAATTATGGAGAATTAGATATCTCTTCCAGTTCAGCTGTCATAACTGCTAAGTTTAAACAGAAAGTCCATTCTAGATAAAATAGTTGAGTTTGCAAAATTAGCTAATATAATGATATAAGGTACGTAACAAATTATAAAAATATGTGGCTAATGGAATTTTATCCAAGAGCAACCCCCCTATATACTCGTACATACATATTGTTGAAATTCCTAATCTATATCTATAGAAGACCCGTCAACAGGTCCATCATTTCCGGTATTTCACAGGAATACGTCAATGAGCACGCTCCACCCGAAACCATCCAAAGTAAAACATCTCCGAGATCATCAATATTCAAGAAAATAAAATCACTGCCCTCAGATATGGATAGACTCCAGTTGAGCTTAAGAAAGAGTAAACGTCAGACTAGCTTAGAAGAAATTAGCGAAAAGACCCCGGAAACTCTAAGTATCATTGAAAGAGGGAGAAATTCTGCTGATGGCATAGAAATGGGGGCCGATCAAGCTGCCTATAAGAGACGGTAGGCATATGTCCGATAACTTATCGGAAATTGTGGATGTTTCACAAAATTGCGTTTATATGTTTGAGCTACATGACATTTCGATTGATGAGATATTTTCGATCAGAATGTCGTATAACCCCAATTTATTTAGATCATGGAAGTCCAAAATACATCTTCTGAAACTTCAAATGGAAGTTCTCTCATGGCTATGGAAACGAAATAGAATAGATTATTCATCATCCCTGGTCACACATTTTTTTTTGTTTTAGTTCCCTACAGCGGGTTTTCATTGTTAGCAATTGTAGACGCGCTGCAAGCATTTTCATTAATGGAATAGAGATAAATCATTAATTTTCGTATTCACCAAATTTGTTATAGGTATGGTAGCAATCCAGCAAAGTCCTCTAGAGTGAGCGAAAGGCAAGCATTGTCTGGAGTTAAACGAAGAACGGCTTTCATGGATAACAATATAAAAAGATACGTAGAAAGAACTGAGGCTATTAACAAAGAGATGGAAGTAGCTATAGATGAAATTTCGTTCTCAAAATATAGGTGAATCAATTTGAATCCACTGTAGGATCTATACGTTCATTTTTAATATAAGTGTTGGCTGTTTTATGGGAAATAAGTAAATAGGACATCGCCATTTTAATTGCAATTTCATCTACAAAATATATTTATTAGCGATTTATTTAGCTAGATATTGATCATATAGATTATATAGAACCTCAATGGTACTGAGTTCTACCTTTTTCCCGTTTTAGACAGTTCCTCAAAATGGAAGACATATACAGCATTTTCATGCTTTTCAAAGAGAAACAACTAGAATTGGAGTACATACAAGCGCCCGACCCTTTATTCAAGTACTCCCTTGCCAGCTCGTTTATATTGATTCTGGGGATATACTTTATGCAAAAAGTGTCACTCAAGTAAGTATTCATTATCGAATCTGTATAACCTTTAAAGCTTTGGTAAGATCTGATCTTCTGGTAGACTAAAACCGTCTCTTTTTCGATTTCAGTGAACACAAAACCATGCCATTTTTCATCGCTGCAGTAAGCGTCAACGCTATTTTACTTCCAGTGGCTTGGACTCACTTCATATGGAACAGATTTGTCACCAATTTCATCGAAAAACAAATTGAAAATAGACTCGTCAGATGCATAGTCAAAATCTCGAAGAAGATCTTGGAGAGCTTTTGCATTAGACTATTTGTATATACATTGATAGTAGCGCTTGCTTCTCTATGCGTTATACATAAATTATTGGTAAATATCACGCACTTTACTAGTAACCGCAAACTCATTCAAACTTGAGAACAGAAATTCAAGATGACTATTAAACATTACCACTCATCAAACGTGCTATGTTTGAGATCAATCTGTAAGAAACTCAACTTACCCTCAACAGTTCTTAATTTGTACCATACAGTTTTATCTATTTCAGTTCAACTGTATACCCAGTATTACTGAGGCCCTGGACGATTTCAGAAATGGAACTGGTAGAGAAATAAATTCTAATTTAGAGAAGGACGAATTCCAGGAATGTTTGGTGTCTTGGGTACGTATCATAGTGGAAAGTACACATTTGCTACAAAAAGATAAACTTGGCTCTTTCTAGACCCTTCTAGTTACTTGATAGCCATATACAGGGTGGCCAAACACGTGACGTCATAAAAAAAATTAGATTCCCCACATCGAGAGGAACCCAAATCACCCCCATATATATGGTCCGATTTTGTTTAGTTTAGGAGTTATGATTTTTTTTCGGATTTTTCGAGAATTTTTGAGTTCTGTGTTTATTTTTACCATAACTTCGTTAATAATTGTGATAAATGCCTGCTTTTTTCACGATTATGTAGCTAAGACCTAAGGCTTAACTATCATATAATCATTCAAGTCATGTAACTAATACTACTTTTTAATTTTTTTCAAAATCTTCGAACATAACAAAAAAGTAAAAAAGTGCAACAACTTTGAACGTTTATAAAAAATTGAAAAAACATGTTCTTACTATTCGTAAGTATCTTAAAAACTTCCTTACGGTATCAGCTATTTACCGTAAAAATTTCATCAACCTAGCTTTACTACATGCTACCGTAATTGTGGCTCAAATAGAACCGAACCCAAAATTGGATAACCCTCTGCTCAATAGAAATTGTTAGTTTCGAAAAAAAAATTTGCAAAAACCACAAAAACACGTTTGATTTTTACTGAACAGCAGATTATTATTCATTTATGTTATTTACAAGAGGTTTTCAAAATGTCTGCCTCTAACAGAAATGCACAGTGTACACCTACGTATGAAATTTTGTTTTAAATCTCTAAATGCTTGTGTGTTGTTTTTCAACACATGTGTCGCTTCTTGAATTTTGTTCCTCAATGAATTTTCATTTGCACATTCTTGGGCGAATGTTATGTCTTTAAAATATCCCCAAACAAAAAAATTATACGTTGCGTGAATATGCAGAAATGCATTATTATTATGGCGTTGCTCAAGGCAACGGCGCTTTAGCAGCTCAGCTGTACCGGGAACAACTTATACGCCGAGGCGGACCACAACCTGAGCATTACCCAGACCACCGTGTTTTTATTAACACACATAACACTTTCATGGCAGGCCGCATTCCAGGACGAGGAAGCAATGAAGGATATCCTACAGCTGATCCGGATCGCAGAGAAGTAGTACTTGAAGAAATTAGCCGGAATCCCTCAACGAGTACGAGATCTATGGCACAAAACCTTAGAATACCACGAACATCGATACAAAATATTCTTCATGAAGAAGGTTATCATGCCTATCATGTTCAAAGAGTTCAAGCGTTGATGCCTTCAGATTACCAGTTAAGAGTGGATTTCTGCGAGACAATGCTGCGAAGACAACGAGAGGATCCCGATTTTTTTGATAAAATTTTATGGACTGACGAGTCACGTTTTGAAAGAACAGGGATATTCAATATCCATAATTTACATACTTGGGCTGTTGAAAACCCCCACCAGTCAAGGCCGTCGACATTTCAACACCGTTTTAGTGTGAACATGTGGTCAGGAATATTCAATATGGAATTTATCGGTCCATTTGAACTGCCGTCAAGGTTGGATTCGGTAGCCTACAAAAGCTTCCTTGAAAATAGCCTACCATTATTGCTGGAAGATTCAAGCCTGGAAGCCAGACGGAACATGGTGTTCCAGAATGATGGTGCACCATGCCACAACGCAACGATCGTGCGAAACTACTTAAACGAAAGGTTCCCAGACAGATGGATCGGACGAAACGGACCGATACCATGGCCTCCACGCTCCCCTGACCTCAACCCCATTGATTTTTTTGTTTGGGGATATTTTAAAGAGATAACATTCGCCCAAGAATGTGCAAATGAAAATTCATTGAGGAACAAAATTCAAGAAGCGACACATGTGTTGAAAAACAACACACAAGCATTTAGAGATTTAAAACAAAATTTCATACGTAGGTGTACACTGTGCATTTCTGTTAGAGGCAGACATTTTGAAAACCTCTTGTAAATAACATAAATGAATAATAATCTGCTGTTCAGTAAAAATCAAACGTGTTTTTGTGGTTTTTGCAATTTTTTTTTCCGAAACTAACAATTTCTATTGAGCAGAGGGTTATCCAATTTTGGGTTCGGTTCTATTTGAGCCACAATTACGGTAGCATGTAGTAAAGCTAGGTTGATGAAATTTTTACGGTAAATAGCTGATACCGTAAGGAAGTTTTTAAGATACTTACGAATAGTAAGAACATGTTTTTCAATTTTTATAACGTTCAAAGTTGTGCACTTTTTACTTTTTGTTTGTTCGAAGATTTAAAAAACAAAAAGTATATTAGTTACATGCTGAATATATAGATATTTAAGCCTAGTCTTAGCTAATAATCGTGAAAAGCAGGCAATCCACATTATTAACGAGTTATGGTTAAAATAAAACAAGAACCAAACATTCTCGAAAAACCGAAAAAAAATCAAACCTAAACTAAACAAAGACATTTATGGGGTGTTTGGGTTCCTTCGATGTATCTAATTTTTTTTTATGACGTCACGTGTTTGGCCACCCTGTATATAAGATATTCTTTACTTTCTTTGGGTAGAAGGCAAGGTATTGCAAAAGTACACTCTTAAAACTTAAAAACTCTCAAGCTTTCGAAGATTTATGTTTACATCGTCTGGAGCTGGAAACAATTATTGATAATAGCAACAAATCACAATTAGGAGAAAAATATTTACTTACTAAGTCGGCGAGATTGTTGCTGAAATTGTTATTAAACAACAGTGAAGGGAACACATAGTCGACGAATAAAAAACTGGACTGATGAGGTTCGATTAGGACGGAACTATTTTATTATTAAATGGCAAATCATTTTGAAAGGTTTTTTTATAATTTAACGTTGATTGATTTTTGAAAGAAATTTGGAGATTTTAAGACTATCATCTATTGAATGGCATATTATTAAATAGCAAATCATTTTGAAAGGTTTTTTTATAATTAAACGTTGATTGATTTTGAAAGAAATTTGTAGATTTTAAAGCTATCAACTATTGAAAATAAAATAATTCCGTCCTAGTCAAACCTCATCAGTCCAGTTTTTTATTCGTCGACTAGGTGTTCCCTTCACTGTTGTTTAAAAACAATTTCAGCAAAAATCTCGCCGACTTAGTAAGTAAATATTTTTCTCCTAATTGTTATTTGTTGCTATTGCCAATAACTGTTTCCAGCTCCAGACGATGAAAACATAGATCTTCGAAAGCTTGTGAGTTTAATTTATAAGAGTGTACTTTTGCAATACTTTGCCTTCTACCCAAAGAAATTAAAGGATATCTTCTCCTAACAGTTAAGGCAATTAACTATAAATTCTATATATATTGTATATATATATAAATAATGGGCAAAATCCGTAAAAGGAAGGAAAGTGGATTCGAGCAGAAAATAGGATAGGTAACCCGAGCGATACGTATTTCTACTGGTTGGCTTCATATGGCCCGAAATGAATGCACATATGCAACTACAAAAGTATACACATGCTCATACATCCGGATACGGGTGTAACGTTAGGAAACAAAGGGAGAGGGAAAAAATCACACACGAAGTCCACAACAAGAGCCAACCTACACATTGTAGTATAACATGGCTAGAAGACCTCGAATTTTCAAGCGACATCTAACCACATGCAATAAATAATAATATTGTGTAACACATGCTCACACGCACTCAAAAAAGTGATTAAAAACGGACGTGCTCACAGTAGCTGGAGGTATTTTGTGGCTACTAGCGTCAGAGATTGTCGCTCAATCATCCACGAGAGCTTTTGGTGTTGTAACACGTAGGCAATCTATTTCGTTCTACAAACAGTGTATATTGTATAATGACCTACGGTATTTATTACGTCACAAGTTTTCAAACTATTGCCTAATATCTATGCCGAATGCTTCACATTAATTGCAGGGATCCGTCAGTATTTATCATGGAATGTGATACTATTTATTGAGTACGTTGGCTGGACGTCATTGATTATTATTGATGTACAAGGTTACATAGAAATCCACTGACACTTGCGGAATCATAAATTAATACTGGTGGTACAAGTCGCAGTGATTACTGATCGTGATATTCGCCTAAGGCATGTGTATTGAGTATACGATAAAATATTTCCCTGTTCAAGCATGTTCGACTACGGCTCTCGCATTAGGGATGATATATCTCATCAGAACGCAGTATTTTCTCCTTATTATAATAGTAAGAAGACTTTAGTCCAGACTTAATCATATTTTTCAAACAAATTTTGTAGGTATTACTATATTAAGATACCCGTTGGAATATATGAATAATTTAATCTACATAAATGATTAAGAATCTTTTCTTTTTTCAGCAATTTACAGAGACTTATGCTCTGCTAATTGTGGTAACATTCGTCTTCCTTAGGATGTTTATTTGGATCAAATTCATGTATTTTCTCATACTTTGGTCTTTTTACGTCTACAGTACTATCAAGCTGTCTCATCTCCAGTATATGGTAAGCTTAACTTAGATGTACAGGGTACATTCAAGTAGGTAATATCCCGAATGCATTGAAGACCCAAAAATAAGAAGCGTCCTACATGTCTCTGCCTCGGAGATGTTCTTAAATAACGTTTACATAACACTGGATAACTAAACAGAATTTTCAGAGGATAGTGACCAGTTAGGGCTTCATATGATGGTGTCCTTGAGAATAACTGAGAAATTAGGCCATCAGGGCTGAAACTAGTCCTAACGCAACATTGCCGATGGCACAAAACCAATATTTTAGAGAAGCTTACTCCTTAGGCAGATACATCTTTAATTTCTATAAAATGAACCGCTTCAAAAAAAAATATGGTTCCAGAAGATCGACGAAAATCTAAAACTAATTGAATGGTATGAAAATTCGTATACTGGTCCCTGATTACGGATCTATTACCATAATTCCTCAATTTTCAGAACTGCAGAAACAGGATACTTAATCCCGTACCAAAATTAAAAGAGCTTTAGATCAAGAGCGTTTCGAAATTCGTTCATTTTATAGATGTTAAACAGTGCATTTTTTCAGCATGAAGATAAGGCCTTCCTAAAATTTCACCATTGATCCATTATTATACAAATACAGGATGCGAAACATTCGCAATATCATATTGGTGGGTGAATCGCTGGACTGTCAAAAATGAGGTTAATGTAGCTTCTGAAACCTATCGTGTGCCTTTCCGATACATTCCAATAATAAAAGAGTCTCATTAGATCTTGATCAGACAAAAAGCGATAGATCAACAATTGAAGAGTGGTAATTCAAAAGCATCTAAGTGCCACATTTTGGTATTTTCGAATTTCAGTGATTTTAAGATCAATGTACCATTGCCAATAGTATACCAAACAGTCTATGTGCCAGTCAAGAATCTTCAGATCTATATACGTATTTCAAATTCGCCTGCAGTCTATCTATCTATCTATACCTGATATGTTTTTCTTAAATTTCTCAAAAAAACCTTTTTGGCATTCAGACGCTTTTGATTTACCACTCTTCAATTATAAATGCACACTTTCAGGAAGATGAGACAATAAACTACCGGGTAGACCCAATTTTGGCACACGTTTTCGTAACAGGCGTGCTAACTCTGGCTTTGCATCTGATGGATCGCCAAACAGACTATATGAATAGATTGGATTTCTTGATGAACAGAAAGGTTAGAACTGAGCAGGAAGAAGCTAATGTTTTGAAACATATTAACGAAAAATTGTTGAACAATATCCTGCCTGAGCATGTAGGTGAGTAGGTAAGAATGATTATTTAAATATGACCAACCAAAACAAAACATCTATGTCTTTGTTATTTTGTTTACTCTGATTAAGAAGATTTTGACAGCTTAGTAACTGATAGGGGTCTCCATGGAAAATGGTTCACTCGTTTAGTTTACAAAGGACGCACTACGTCAACACAAAAAATTTGATACTAGTTTGTTTTCGATAAACTGAGGAAATTCATAAAATTGTTACAAGGCAGGTACTTATACGGAGCTCCAGAATGCGATATCATGAGAGCCCCCATTAAATCTAAACAAATGTTAAGCCCAGCCCCATCTTGAAATTTTCAATTGTAATTTCATTTTAATTTTTTTATTTTTATTTTATTATTATTAACATTTAATCATCATTAATGTTCCTTCTGAGTTGGGTTGGAACATAGTTTGGAAGGCGCAAAGTCTGACATTAAATACTAACCTTGTCTATCAAAGGACTTTCAACAACACTTATGGAAACCACAAATATCATAAATAAAATTTTCTTGGTTCCAGCAAATATTTATTTGGATGTGAATAGAGAGATGCATGACTTGTACTATGAAGAACACTATGATGTAGCAGTTATGTTCGCATCCTTAATATTGGACAAGGAACTGTTGAACCTTCCGGATAAAAAGTTCTTGGCTATGATGAACGAATACATATCCTGCTTTGATACCGTGAGTGTAACGTTAGCTCGTATCCCATGTATACGTAGGTACACGGTGTTGATATATTCTCCAAATCTTTTCTGTTTTTAAAACGAAAGGAAAAGAGATGTTTCTAAAACAGACGGTACAACCAAAATAACATAATACGTTCCGTTAGACAATGCAAATTTCCGTGGAACTGATGAGGCTGACTAAGGGCAAAGGATTATGTTGGGACAACATATCCCAGTTTCTATGCCACTGACGTAGCTTGATCCACCAACATTTTTGTATATATCGGCAATGTCACTACTATCATATACATAATTTTTTATCCACCGTGGAGTTATGTTCTTTCTAAATTGCGAAATAATAACTTGATATTGCGTCTTTGGGTTACACGAGGAATGCAATTTCTGTTGTTTATTATAAACCAGTTCATTGTAATATGTCCTGATGTGTGATTATATATTGTTAGATTGTTTATCAGACGGCAACGGATTTTCTGCGAGCGTTTTGCTGTCTAGGCATGGATAATATAGTCACATACAATAGAGAATTTTGGAAGTAACTAGCCTATCACACAAACTTTTCTCAATAAGCTTAGTCAAAATGTTTTTTTATAAATAGCAGCTTTTAACTATTACAGCGACCCGATGTCGATAACTCAATTTTTGGTCTAAGAGCACCCCGAGGTTTTTACACCGTCGGAGCATTTCAACTGTGATTGTTTGATACATATTTACGTGTCTTCCTCCAAAAATTTTATTTCTTTTTTGGACCGAATAGAATCGTTTGGGTTTTTCAGTGTTTAAGATCATTGACCTTTACATAAGTATAGATTACTTCTGGATGCTTGTTTATAAGTGACATAACGTTATCAGAATTTTTCGGTTGAAATGATGGATACATTTGGGCGTAGGTTATTGTTTAACAATTTTGAACAACTTTGGTTAAATTTGAGGTGTATAACGTGAATAGTGGTGGCCCTAAAACAGAGCCTTGTGGTACCCCAAGTTTTATAAGCTCAAGTGATGAAGCTTTGTTGTCTTATGAAAATTTTTGACTTCTACCAATGAAATGTACCGAAAATAATTCATATTTTTTTGAAGGTCCTAAATAATACAATTTTGATATTAAGAGTTCATGGTTAATTGTATCGAAACTTTTGAAAAATCAAGAAGCAACAAAAGTGTAGCATAAACTTTATCAAAAGCGGAGATAAAGTCACCATTTATCGATAGAAGTAGATTTTGGATAGTTAAATATTATATCAAATAAACATAATCCTTTCAAATAATTTCGACCAAACAGGGAGTAAACTGATTGTTCGAAGATCACTGTAGCAGTAGTAGTAGTGTAGAAGTAGTAGTAGTAGTAGTAGCGGTGGGGAGGCGAAGCCAGGTAACTAGGCCTCCGCCGACCCCGTAGTACCAACACTGGCCTACTCCACGAGCCATATACGGGTAACTGATATAATAAACCAGCTCCCGCGATGAGATGTTCTTGTTAACATTGCACCACGTGTGTAATATAGACAACACAACATCCATGGCAAGGAATTAACTTCCGAGGCGGAGATTCGAACCCGCGAGCCCCGGGTTGCTAGCTTGACGCGCTGACCACCGAGCTGTCGAGGCTCCTTGAAAATCACTGTAAGATTTAAGGAAGCGACCTTGATGATTGGAATGATAAGCGATTCTTTTCATAACCCCGGAAAATATTCAATGTCCAGTAAGCTGTTTACTATATGTGTTCGGATGACAAGAAAGCTTATTTTTATCATTTCAGTAGAAATTTTGTCAGAAAAACTAGCCTTGGACTTTATAGAAAACAATTGATACATGGCATGTTAAGGTGTCGTCTACAAACAGTGAAAATATTAATTGAGTTAATTTTTGTTCCAGTTAACAAAGGGAAAAGAATTTACAAGTATAGAAAAGATCAAGCTGGCGAAGTGGACATACATGGCTGCCTGCGGCTTGAAGGACAAAAAAGGGAAGGAGTTGATAGAGAAACACGTGACCAGTTCTAGTTTACTGACCCTCCTCAACTTCGCGGAAGCAATGTTTAAGACGTTGGAGAACGTTAATAAAATGAGATGTCAGTCTACTCAGTTGAGAGTAGGTATGTGATATTTTGTCTCCATGTCGAATGCAATTCAACAAGAGACTGTATTACTGATTTGTGCTTCTCCACGTGACTTAGGGATTTCGAAAGCTTTCAAAATATTCCAGACCACGCTCATTTTTTTTTCGATTTTAGCACATCATGTGAAGTAGCAGGTTAATTTACCTTTTTTTTTAACAAACTTTAGTATGATTTGTATTTAAAAAAAACTCACAAGCCTTATGAAAATGTTTTGTCGATATGATAAATCTGCTGGAATGAGTATGGCTTCTCATTCAGACCAAAAGCTTCTACGGTCTGAGGAAAGGGTCAAGGAAAATAAAAGAGTTTTTGGCCATCAAAATTCGAATTTGATCGCTTCTATAAAATGTTTGCATCTGAATATTTCTTGAATAGTTCTTGATTGTTCGTTAAAAGCTCAAGGTTCCTAAAATTTTTGTCCAAAAGTCACCATCTTCGAACACCAGGCTTACTATTTTATATAAGTACATGGTTGCTGTTGATTTGTACCTCAGTGAGTTTTATGCTATACATGTAAAGTCGGAAGTGATGAATTGCCATCGTCGAGATTTGAAATAACAATTAAGTACTGAAATGAAAATGTCTATAAGATTTTAAAGTATATGCTCGGTATTTTATCTTTGACTTTCAGCATTGGGATCTTGGAAACGGTAGGGGATACGATGTTGTTGAATGGGGGCAAAGTTGCCTATTCAGGTAACTACAAAAATGTAGAATATTTCCGAAGGTATTCGAAAAAAAAAATATTTTTATCATGATTTACTGACTTCATTTGGGGTGGTATGTGGTATAATCGTAATATCACAATATAGATGCTTCTCTTTTCCTCAATCATCGACTTCATTTTTTATTATGGACGCACTTTTGGACTTTTACGTATGTGAATAGTCTTCAATTTGGATTTCGAATATGTAGATATGTCACACATTAATATTGTACAAATATGAATATTAAAATAAACAGAATTTCCTCAGTTAGCCTAAAAAATATCAGTTGTTTCATCACATAAGCTAAGCACTTCTTAATTTTTTATGAACCGGGCATGATGATCTGACATTCTACATAAAGACATTAATTAATATTATAAAACTGCACATATCTAACAAAGCGCTGTTCCTATAGTTGGCTTTAAGTCATCCATGAATATCACGGCGATGATAAATTTTTCATATTAATTAAGGATGGCAATAAAAACATTGAAATCAGTTTAATTTAAAGAAACTGATACGTTTCAATGCAAGCGCTTCGATAATTTTGCGCTTAAACAATGTTAAACTACTTCAGAGGCCTGATTCTTAGTTTCGATCGTTGAAATTAAATTAGATGGCACCTTGCCATCACACATTTTATCCAATATGGTAATTTTGACACTGCCATGATAATTTGAATATAAAAGATCTCTAGAAAGAGATGTCAGAATTATTATAAATGATTTTAGGAGTATGACCGGAAGGCATCGAAATTAATTTCAACAGTCAAAATTGATTCAGAATCAGATCCCTGGAGTGCCATGTAGGGAAACCCCGTCGCGCGTCGTGCTATAATAGTACATAATACTAGTTTAATAATGATCGAGAACAAATCACTAAACATTACATTGAAATTCTAATACTGCTATTTTGTAGATGAGAAAAAGTCACAATGTTAATGTGCAATTCATTTTGAAATCCCACCTCATATAAAGCCAGGAAAAAATAACAACGATTAATTTCTTTCTGTCTATCTTCGTAAATACTCTGTGAAGCTTTCTAAAATAAATTCTCCATTGGGCCTCTTTAGCCCATTTCATACCTCTTACCGTTTGCGTAATTCCAATAGCCAATGGTGAGGGTCGAATTTGAAACACGCGGTATTTGGCCTACGGAGTCTAACAGGGACGGACTAGCCCTAGAGCGCTTATTACACTTTTTCACGTCTTCCTCAATAATAATTTCATAAGGTCATTGTTTTATTATGTTGACATTCCGATTTTTTTAAGGTATCTGCACAGGACCAGTGATAGCAGGTGTCGTAGGGTCCAGAAAACCTCTGTACGACATTTGGGGAGACGCTGTGAACATGGCTTCCCGTATGGACAGTACGGGCCTAGTGGGGCATATTCAAGTAATGGAGAAAACAGCAGAATTGATTAGAAGGTGCGGAATTGAGTGCATGTACAGGGAAGAAATCATCGTGAAGGGTGTCAACGGGAAAGTGAGGACATATTTCGTTAAAATGGACCATACTCATTCATTGGTCAGAAGTGGGATAATGGAGTGATTTTATTTAAACAAAGAAGTCATTTATTAGAGACATCTAAAAAAGCTCAAAAATTGCTAGAACTGGTTTATGACGAAACATAGTTCGGTATATCGAAAGAGTACAAAGAAAATTATGGGTTTCGCCTATATCTAAATGTAGTAAAACATAGAGAAAAGCTGTAAAATAACGAAATATGAAGTGAAAGACATGCAAAAACAGACGAGGATCGCTTTAGTAACACCTTGAAGGGTTTCCGATTATTTGTGCTTTTGTCACCAGCTGTTCGATTGCAGTTTTTAGTTTGTTTAGAAAAATTGTATTTTCATTTTTTCAAGGTTTTGCGTTTTATTAGACGTTTGTCAAACTCAAACAAAAACTTGTTATCAATTTTCAGCATTACAGGAACAGAAAGTTTTAATAAAATAAATAGAAAGTTCTCGTGCATGTAATTCTTGAAAAAGTTGTTCAAAAATATTTAAACCAAAGTTTGAAAAGTGATGAAGTGCATATCCAATAGAATCATTTGACTGCATATACGTCATGAGTCTTTTTATATTCTTGTTATTTTTGATATGGAAATTACATTAAATACCTGAACCCTTGTACTAGGTTTCCAGCTGGGCGGAATATGTACTCTGACATATTAATTGAACTTCCAATATAATATTTATATTTCCGAATCGAGTAGTTAGAACTGATATACAGGGTGCTCCACAAATTTATCGAAAACCACTGATAAAAGAAAACACGCCGAGACACATCAAAAGATTTGTCAAGAGGGACAACCAAAAACTACTTCAGCCCATTTCACCTTTGGCCCAAAGGCTCTTATAAATTTTAAATGACAAGGGATATCGAGTAATATCTGGTCTTACAAGTCTTTCACAGTTATTTATTTTGACGTTTGATTTTTTAAAATCAGTCGCTTCGTTTTCGAGAAACTTAGAAAAATCTTTATTTATCTTAATTTGTTCAGATAGAAAACAAAAGCACACGAAAATATCATTTTTTATTTCAGTGTTCAAAATGTTGCCCATTAGGGTTTGCTAAATTTATAATTAAAACAGAAACTACCAACATAAACATAAATTCCGAAGATTAGACCTGGCAACAACCAAATTACAATCCGAATTTTTTTTTCAGCAACACAGATATCCTGGGCGAACTGTATTTATTATTTTACCTGTTTAGTTATTTGTTGCTAAGGGAAAGAAATAATTTGATTTGCTGTCAGTTTCCTTTTGGACCTTGTTACTAAATTTACTCAAACTGGATCTGTTGCAAATGAAAAACGTGATCAATGAAGAGTTTTGAAGTTTTGGGTCAATTTGGAATAATTCCTTATACTTCATTACGCAAAATTGTTGCTGCGACTAGTATTTCATTAGGCTCTGTACACACAGTTACTAAACTCCATAAATTTCATCTATTCAAAATAAAAATATTGCAAGAGTTAACTGAAGATGATTTCGATAGGCGAGTTGAATTTGTGAACAAATGACTGCAGCAATTAATGACAATACCATCCACGTAAAGAATGTCTACTTCACTGATGATTGCACAGTTTATCTAAATGGATTTGTTAATAAGCATAACTGCAGGTATTGGAGCAATCAAAATCCTCTTGCTTCTGTGAAGGACATACCCAGTACCCCCAAAAAATTAATGTATGGGCAGGCAAAGGGATTGGGCCACATTGCTTATTAATGAAAATTTGAGTGGAGACATTTATTTTTATATGCTGGAAAATATCATCAATCCGCTTATCACTGAAACCATTGAAAACCAAATCGAAGAGGATGGTAACTCTATATTTGATGAGGCTGAAATATATTTCCAGCAAGACGGCCCTCCTCCTCAGTACGTTATTCTGGTTCGGCAATAGCTAGACGACGAGTTTCCAGATAAATGCATAGGGCGAAGATGTCCTATAGAATGGCCTGCTAGATCTCCTGATTTAACGCCATTAGACTTTTTTCTATGGGTCCATTTGAAATCTATTGTGTTTACTCTCCAACCTAAACAGTTTGGATGAACTTCGTCAACGCATCATCGAAAGCTGCCATGATATCCCACAACATGTTTTTGAAAATGTCTGTAAGGACTTTGAACATCGCGGATATCATTATTTGGCCAATAACGGACAACATTTTCAGTACTTGTTGAAATAAAAAGTGATACTTTCGTGTCTGTTTTCTGTCTGAACAAATTAAGATAAAGATTTTCTTATTTTCTTGAAAACGAATCGACCGATTTTACAAAATCTAACCTTAACATAAAGGACTTCGAAAGACCTCCCCAACAAGTTATTGATACCCCTTATCATTTAAAATTTTTAATGGGATGCCCCCGAGGGGCAGAGGGTGAAAGAGACTGAAGTAGTTTTTGGTTAAAAAGTTGTCCCCCTTGACAAATCGTTTGACGTGTCTCGGCGTTATTTCTTTATATAAATGGTTTTAGATTAATTTGAGGTGGGAAGTTTTCAAATGAACACCGGAGGGAAATGTAAAAGCTGCAAAATTAATCAAATATCTATTTAAGCTCAGATTTGTGCATTCAGGCATCAATTTTTACAACGGTTTTAAGAAGTCCTATAGTGATATCATATTTTCTTGTTTGTTACGTTTGAAATTTAATATCTCTGTGTTTTTTAAAGTATCCTTCCTATTCGGCAATTATTATAATATTATACTGATCCTATCTATTATCAAACATCATAATATCAACTGGTTTCAAGAATCTGATGCCATATTGGATACGCCATATTGAATTTTGGTTTTTGATAGCAGATTCAACATCAGCGATCTCAAAAACTCTTCTGTAAGAAATTTCGTCAAGGTGCTACAAAAGTATTTTTTTCCAGCTCTTTGGGTGTTCTAAACCACTGTGCGGCGGGATAAATAAATTGAACAGCTTCACTATTATACAATATATGAAAGAGAACCTTATTGGTATAGAAAATAACAATACTCAAATGCACAAGACCTTAACCCATATTGGTTAACAAAATGTCGCAGCAACAAAAACCACTATTTATTTACATTGTTTTGCGACCGTTTTCATTCTGGTGGACGTTTTCAGCGCAAACACTACAATAATACTTCAAGGATCATTAAAAATAAACACTTTAATTTCTAAAACGAACATATATTTCTGATACACTCAGCATTTCAAATTCAAATGTATAAGGTAAGATCATTGATTGCATTTCAATAGATTTTCCTGAAAATGTCAGAAACGTATTTTTGCAAACGAATGGAGCACGCGAGCTTTTTGCTACGCACCTTCCTATCTCCTATATGTCAGTTTTAGCTTAGACCTTTATCGGTGCAGTGTAGGGAAAGTAATTTAGTTATCCCGATAATTGTCTAATCAAGAAGGTTAATGTTAATGCGATCACTTTCACAAATACAAATACTGAGACTATTCAGTCTATTCGCCATTATCGCCTAAACTTTTTTTGGTCCGTTAAATCAACACAGTCTTTCATATCAATTTGTCGTTTGAGTATATTATTCAGCTGGGAACAGTTCTTCATAGGTGAATTTCTTCAAAATATTGTTTGCGATTTCTGAGAACCTGTCAGCTAGTGACACTTCCAGGGCGGGTCTTATCTCGTTCAGAATATTTCTGAGTTGTCGTTCACTACTTCGTTCATTGCTCGGCCCAAATTGGGATCCCTGTGGAAGAATTAAATATGCGTAAGACAAACATTACATATAGGCCAGAATATGTGGCAATTTATCTGATGACATAAAACATAAAGGTAATGCGACTATAGAAAATGGCCTTAAAGAAACAGGTCGCTACTAGTTTTCTACATATCACTTCTGAATGAACTCATATTGGTTACTTAGAGAGTCCTAAGTTTACATTTTTTATACCGAAGCAGCCGTGTAGACAGAAGAAGCCTAACGGTCTGGCCACAGGACATTCGGCACTGCGAACTGCGCGGGCGACAGGCGGCGGGCGGGGTGGGTGAGTGAAACAAAGGCATGAATCAGTACGGCACAAGCCACGGGGTCGAGCGGCAATCTTCGCCTCGAAAACTGAACACCGAGGCTCTTATTACTGAAAAACTTGCTAGGCCAGATATTTGGAAGTCTGGCTACACACAGCATACGTATACAAATAAATAACATAATTATTGTGAAGTATTTTAGTTTCATGAAATATTAATATTCAGGATGACATTTAATTAGCTAACCATATTTTGGCAATAATAGTTCCGAATAAAATCAGTTATGAAAAAATTATGTTTGCGACCATATGTTTTTTTCGGGTGTTTATATTGATGGGTTTCCCATTCCTCAAAATATGCTGAGCTAATTAAATGTCATCCTTTATATAGATACCTTAATGTCAAAAACAATTTTTCAGCGGCACTTAAAATTCTATCTGGATTGACTTTTTCCCAATTCAGGTTGAATATCAATTACAATTAAATCCAAGGTTCCGACACTCCTCCTGGTACTTTTTGTGGAATTCGCCATCTCTACCCCGATTCCTATTCAAATCATGTACTGCACAATCTCTTCCAAATATTATGACTTGAACCAAAAGACTATTACTTTCTAAATAATATCGAGATACGTTGATAAAGCATTTCGCTCGGCCTATAGTAGGCGCATCGTCGTTCGCGCCGACCGTCCCCGTGGCCAAGCCGCATAAGTACCAGAACACCGCGACTCCTATAAGACACCTTGCTAATCCGGTTTTGAAGTGCTTGAGGTTAATAGAAAAGTCTCTTCAGGCAAACTGTTCCACAATCTCGACACTCTAGAAACAAATGAGCGGCCGTTCTGGATGTTCGAAGTTCGAAACGGTTGGGATGAGAGGAAGTTTGACGGGTCTTTCGTGAAGGAACATCGCGTGGTGGCAACATGAAGGAAAACTCGGTGCAAGAACCAGATCGCCGTTGGCTCGCCGGCGCGAAAAGGTTCCGAGACCGTCCGTTGGAGAAATGTCACAGATCAGTCGGGCAGTTATCCTCTGAACATCATCAACTATAAGCAGCACCCCAAGCATTTGAGCAGTACTCGAGGTTAGAACTCATCTGGGCTTTGAACATAGTGAGGACGTTATATGGAGAAACGTACTTCTTAGCTCTAAACAAATAGCATACCTTTTTCTCAGCAGCTGTCGTGATTAACGAGATGTGTTCGTGCCAGATCAAGTCCTTGGTGATCTGGACTCCGGAATGAATCGGATGCGCGTTAGGGTGCTTCTTGTTAGTCAGGGTACAGTACCCTACTTTAGAAGCATTAAACTATACCAGATTGTTGCGTGCCCAAGCAGGGATAACTTCCAGAGTGGTGACATCAGCAAAGCTGTGGTTCGGATTGATCGTAGAGGAGAGAAGATCGTTGATGTATGTATAATAAAAATAATCTTTCAGCCAAGGTTGATACCTGGCGAACACATTCGTTGACATTGTTGGATGAAGAGGAGAATCTGTCAATTACGGTGGTTATTTTGCGGTAGTAAGACAGCCACCCATCTGCATAGCTTCCCTGGGAGGCCATAGGATAAGAGTTTGTATAAGAGGGCGGTATGCCACAGCTGATCGAAAGGTTTCTTGATATCAAGACCAACGACATAAGTCTCAATTATGACTGGACGTGTTCGCTCCACAGTTGTGTAACTTAAGCTACGAGGTCCTCTGTTGATCGCTGGTAGCCGGAACCATACCGCATGTCGCTAATAAAGCTGTGATGATCAAGATACTCCAGGAGTTCCCGATTTATTTAATTATCCATCATCTTACTGATGGACATGCCCAAATACCCAATTATCTGGGAATACACCGGATTCATAACATATATGATAGAGTCGCGAAAGAACTGGAGAAAGTTACGCTGCACTTTTCTTCGGTACAATAGCAGGAATTTGGAAAGAACCTGAAGCTTTGTTAATGTCAAGCGCCTTATGGTCTTTTGTCTAAATGTGTTTCCCCAATAGTGTAAGACATTAACGGCAGTCGGGCGTTGCAGGGCAAGTCCATGTTGGAGTTGGCAACAATGACCTTGGCAAGCACTTCCGCTTTATCCTTTGAGTCGGTTACGGTTCAATATTGGCACGTCAGCTGTGGAAGGCTACACTCTGAGAAGTTCCCTTCATTCTTCTTAGCCAGCGTCAAGACAGATTGTCTGACATTGCGCTGTGACATTACGATAATTTTTGCATCGCGCTGGTCTTTGCTTCAGTTTCTGTTCTGTTCTGTGAGCTATGATTTACTGTTGGCAAGAAGCGTCGGCCCATTTGTTGAATCAGCCGTCAAACACTGACTTAGGCATATTCACTGTATGAGGGATATATTTCTCCTACCTATTGTGGTTAAGTTCTGCTATTGACGAACAGATACCTGACGCATCCAAGTAAGCGAGGCAAACATCTCTCCAAGGGGAGCTAGATAAAAAGTCTCTGAGGCCTTCTGAGTAAGCATGTCTATAATGCCAAATTTTGAGGCCTGTGGGAGTTTCTGTTGCCACAGCCGGTTGTAACTAGAATCTGACTTCTACAATACCGTGGTCTGCGTTATCTAGAGGAGACAGCATAGCAGTGTTGTAAGAGACAGGATGCGTGGTCAGAAAGAGATCTAGCAGACAACTGGCGTGTAAAAAAGAAGGGCTCGTCACCACCTTTGTTAGTCTTTGGCTAACGGCGAACTCCTCAACAGTGTATCGGCGTTGTTTGGGCCTAACCAGAGTGCATTATAGGTATTGGGGTCACCGAGAAGTACCTCCGAAGCGGGCTCAGGATATTCAAGATGTCAGCAAGGTATTCAAGTAGTTCCGAGAGAGAGAGAGAAAGAGAGAACGAGAGAAAGCGATAGAGACAGCTAACAAAATTGGAGATGATTTGGAGTTGAGCCGAAGCCACAGAATGTGCTTGCGTTCTGATTTCAATGGGGCGTCTCCGGGGCCGGCGAGGCTGCAGTCAAAATTGGAGAGCACCTCGTCGCTCGATAAACTAAGATTGATAGTTGGAACAGAATCGGAGGTTGTTTGTGGAGGAGATTGTATCATCGATGTTTTTTCCTCAACTGCACCCTCCACCCGGAGTCGAGAAAAGGAATGGAAAAAAGGAAAACCGACTTGTGTGTGGAAACATGTGGAAATTTTTAAGATATTCTGGAAAAACTTGCGGATGGTATCGCCTCGCTTGGGTGGCCCTTGTGTAACACCTTCTTTTCGATTTTAGTGATGTTACATAGTCATAAGGTAGGCTATTGGCGGATCGCTACCCGATAGGGTACCGATGAACTCCTTGACGCATGTGCAGTCACTTGAACGGGAAGAAGTTGTATTCTAAGTGCAACAACTTCCGGAACAAGCATTTCTCACGGTTCTGCTCAGTTTCTCGTAGGCAACTTGTTTTAAGATTGATCACAAAACGTGAACAAGAGACAGTAAAATTTTGTTAAAGAACTTTCAAACACGCTATAACATTGACTTACCTGCTAAATAGGTCGCCTAAATGGAAATATGCCTTCTCTATTGTGATATGAATGAGCATTTTACTAAACTGGAGATGATTTTGCCCGTTGAGTTTCTCAATTTTTCCTTTCATCAGTACGTCTGCTCCTAGGTTAGCTATAACAGAAAGCAATTAATACATAGGTATGCTTCAAATTGCAAGAAACTGTAAAATTTACTGTTTTTGATTAGCGATTCACTGTTATTTTTGTTTTTATTTATGATTTAATAGAGTGCAAAGAAGAGCTTGCTCAAGGAGAATTTTTTTTAAGTTCACCATACTTACTGATGTTCCCATTCAAAGGTCCTTGTCCCTTATATTTCAAAATAAGGACATTCATGTCCATATCATAGTCACCTTCGAACTTAATTTTCGGTACATTGATTCTGAATACAAATCTGTTCTTCGCAATATTTGGTCTAAAAAGTAAAATAGACTAGATTAAAAGTTTAAATCGAAACGGAACACGGTATATTAAGGTCAAACAGTGTTCGAAACTACAATGGGCATTTATCGAAGTATTTTGAATCATCACTGGAACTGCAACGAGCAGTTGCATTAGCGTATAAGACATTGTAGGTTAGATTCTTGATTTCTTGGCAAGGGCTAATTTAGAGGGAAGTAAGGAAGGCGCGCGCTTCTCCTAGATGCTCAAGTCTTCCATTTTTTTTCAAGAAAGTGCTGTTTCTTGATGTAAAAATCACCTTGCTAGACGTTAATCGTGAGACGTGCCCCCTCCTCCTTATAGGTATCCCACCCGCTCTTCATTTGCTCTCAGATGCGATGATTAAATGCTGAAGCTTGCAGCCAATATGTATGATTAATGTTGTCATGTTGATGGAAAGTTCGCAGTGGTGTGATTGAGATTATAAATCATTCAAATCGACAATTTTCTTTTGATATCACACTACATAGATCGTTGTAAACTTTCGCAAATCTATGTGACAACTTACAGCTTTTGAGCATATCTTCGGTATTCTTTATGTTATAAATTATACTTTTAGTGGATGCCACGAACCGTGCCAATTTTCTAAAATCCTGAGCACCTTAGCACTTCATCAGTATATATCGACAGCGAAAATAATAATTTAAAATGAAATTATGTTTTTTCTACAAATAAGGTTATTATTACTGAATTATCTATAATTTTGAAAAAAACGGTTGCTGGAAGCGGTGAGTAGTTCGGAAATTACGAAACTGGTATTGGTTGTGCCTCTATCAATCGAAAGCGCCAACTAACCGGCATTAATGCCAGATTCATTTTTATTGCATGTATATGTATACTTGTATACCCAAATACACGTTGCAGTGATGATAAAATACAATATCGGTGCTGTAATGTTTTTAAAATAACTGAACTTTTCATTTGAATCATTTATGCCTGATAACTTATTTAGCAGAATATTCCGAGTAGATCTATGATATCGACTTAAGCGATTAATAGGAGTTTTGGATAGTAGATCTGGCAACGTTGTGCTTCAGTTCGAAATTCTAGGAAATTGCCCTTATTACTTGGCCTCGGGGCTACTATTAAACTAATCTACAGATGGTCGTAAAGTCAGGGAGGTACCAGAAATGAAGAACGAAAACATGATGTTTCTGCCATTCTATATCTGGTAAATATTTATAGAAAAAAAACTTACTTCATCTCGAGTACTTCAAAGGTGGATGGCCCCCAGACCTTCAAGTTCGTGATGTTAGCATCAATCTTGGCCTGACTGGGTCCGCTTCTGAGCTTGATAGTGTCCAGTGGCAGTGGATCTAGCGAGGGCACGTTCAGTTCGGGGATACCTGCGACTAGTTTTGGCCTCAACTCATTCACTGAGTTTGTGATGCATGATGCAATGTTGGGGTCATTCTTCTTGCATACCTTGATATAAGATGCTAAAGGAGACAAACATATATTATCTACCAAGATCACAGCCTAAACTGCTCATCAATGTTATCATTTGAACAAAATATTGCATGGTGCGTGTTATTATCGATTATTTAGTTGTCGGAAAGCTGCAGGTCTACAACTTTTGGAAAATAAGTTCTAAATATTACGTCAGAACATGATTTGCGTTTGGTCATAATTTACAAAAACGCCAGAAATACCTGGATGCTCAAGTCATTGTGATTTCAACTTTGAGAGGTTTTAATGAAATCTACTAGTTTTTACTCCTAGGATAATTCTTATTGTACATGTATGCATTTACGATAAGACTCTATACCTTCTCCTGTTACTTCAATTTCGCTTCAGAAATACAAATGTTTAATGTGAAAAGCCCTAGTTTCTGTCGGTAGGGAAACTATCCTATCAATGTGCGAATTCATTCTGGGCGAGCTAACGTAATGGAAATTCAGATGAGCCCTTTAATAGCAAAATTCAACAATAATAAAATCCAGGGGCCTTAAAGTGGTCTAAGTGCTGAGATCCTGAATGATTACCTTTTCTAATACAGAGAATCGCGAACATGCTGATTAATATACTTATTTATACATCTTTGGTGTCCCTTCTCTTTCTGACTTGTCTAAATGCTCATGTCACTAGTTTCCGATATTGTATGTAGGGAAAGTAACCAAATAAGTATGAAAAATAGCTGAATATATATTTTAGAAGCGTGCTACGTTTACATATTTATCATGAATTTGAAAAATTGGTGCCAAAACCGGACCCGTAGTGGAAATTGTGTTTCATCAAGATTTATTCTTAACCCTCTTCGGTCAGATTTATATTTTATTATGAAATTGGTAATTTTAGTATATTATAGTATAAGTAAATCTAAAATGGTCCTTCAAATGACATACAGTATGCTAGAACCATCATTACACAGCCGATGCTCATAGGTAGTATAAATGGCAATACTGGCTTGACTATATCCGCTTAATGAAAATATTCGACCTGTAATTTGACTACCTATCTTCGATTTGCCATATAACACAAATTAGAAACTATTCAGACAGGTAACACCATTGATTAGTCAGGTAGCACTAAGCCATCAAGATGCCTCCGCTGTGCAATAACTGTAATAATATGTATGGTCGTTATCTTGGACGATATGTCCTTTTAAGGAAACTACAACATGCCAATATACTGCAAAAATATGATTTCTGATGGTTTTTGGAGTATATTTATATTACACAGAGTAACCAAAAAACGAATTGTTGACATAAGTGGATAAAGGTGTCATGTAAAAAAATCATTTAATGGAGAAAATTTACTTAGAACATTTTTTATTGGGACTTTTTAATTTATTAATGTCAAATATTTAGTTTAATTAGTTTACTATTATCTTGTTTTTGGAACAAAGTAATTACAGAATTAAAGAATCACTCCTTAAAGGTTAGTTTAATGCAAAAAAGCAATTTTTAAGATAATGTTACATGACACCTTTATCCACTTGTATCTTCAATTATAATAGCATTTTTGGCATCAAATGAATGAACATCTAAAACGTTCCACCATTTGTTGTGCTTGATCCTATGTTTTATATCGCAAATTGAACGTTTCCGTAAGGTGCACGTGACTATGCTTTTGCTGAGCTATTTTCTTGGCTATCATTTCATTGCTGACAAAAGGCCTGAATCATAGAAAACCAGTAGTAATCGTGGTAATGATAGAATACCGCCAGGAACTAAGTAAACTGACTATGTATTGGCGGTCATCCCAGAAGATAGAGAGGCCACAAGGATACAAATATATGTAAAACAGATTCATAGTTTTTAGCTCTTAGGCGACAAAAATAGAGTCGTACAGTTTATTTCCTGCTCCTTGCCTTTTTCTACCCAATTTTCTTATGAAAGGCCTCAAAAGCGTCAGCATTCTGGAAGGACTAAAGTTGTTTTTATAAGCATTCCCCACTACACTTTTCTTCTTTTAGTTGGTAGTAACTTTAGGTAGCTAAAGCGGGTCCGGTTTGCGCAAGTAAAACCAAAAACTTCATGAGAAAGAACTTACAATCTTACATTTTGAAGAAATATTAAGGCTTACTTGCAGAAGTATTAACGAATATTAATGAAAATTGTAGCACTGCCCAAGAAACTTTTTCCACCAACAAAACACCGAATCGTGGACATGCGAGGTACGTGTGCGCTCCACTATGAGGTGGTAGATGCTCATGCTACTATTTACGCTCGGCAATAACGGAATTTCAGAGGATGCAAATCCAATGAGACCAGGGGTCCGCTTAAGGGAAGGCAGCCTCTATTAACGTATATCCTAAAAGTTTTGGCACAAAATTCGTTGGCTTTAATTTTAACAAACACAAAATAATACAAAGTTGCCTTTGGAAACAAAAGGTTGTTTACTTACTTTAATGTCAGTTGACATTTATTTATTTTGATGTTTTCGCTTCAAGATGTCGTTTAAATTAGAAATAAGAAATAGTACCTTCAAATTGGCTGGGCGGGTACCCAAAGCTGAAATCTGAATATTCCAGAATGATAACATTTCACGCAGAGCCATTTATCGAACATTAGCGGAGTGCGAGCAGGGAATACCAAGAATCTCCCAAAAAAATGGAGGAAGGCCACGTGCATTTACTGCACAGAGGTCGAAGAGATTGGTGACAAGAGCAAAAAATCAGGTTGGAGTGTCAACAAGGAGACTGACTCGTCAATATAGATCTTCTAAGAGTACGATATCGTTGGAATTGACAAATGGTCTTAAATATCAAAACAAACTTAAGTGTCCCAAATAGTATCAAGAGCAACTCCTTCGTATACCAAGATTCTGTCGCCAACTCAGGCGGGTACACTTTGCCAATGGAAAAATCATTATTTTAGTTGACGAAAAGTATTTTAGTTTGAGTAATTGTGAAATGAAGGGAAACGACGGATTTTATACCGTAGAGGAATGCCCTGATAATGCTAGATACAAACATAAAGCGAAATTTGCATATAAATTCCTTGTCAGGTGCGCACTTTCTAACAGTGGTGTATCCTTACGTTTTGTGGGAAGAGTGAGCGGTGGAGCTTTGAATAGTCAGAGCTATATTGATAACTGGCTTTCCAAATTGCTTCAGTTTGACCACGAACATCATGCTAATGACCATATGTTTTGGCCGGACCTAGCATCATGCCATTACTCAACAGATACCCAAAACTGGTTTCAACAACAGAACATACCTTTTGTTCCCAAAAACGATATTCCGCCAAACTTGCCGGAGGCTAGCCCAATAGAAAATTTCTGGGCTTTATTGTATAGGAACGTTGATCATGGAGGCTGGCAAGCTCAAGATGAACAATTAAGACGGCGAATTCGCTGAGAGTAATTGATCTGAATTTCATGAAAAAATTCCGAAAAATATTTTGTGCCAAAACTTTTAGGACATACGCTATTATAGTGTCAAAATTCCATGTTATCCATAGAAATAAAAGGAAAACATATGCATTGAAATCATGCTTCTGTCATACTAATAGTAACTTAAACAGCTGCATCTTGATATTGTAAGCATTGAACTAAGAACACCTATGTTAATTCATTCATCCGACCGATAAATTATGAATCTGTACGTGACATGAACATATATTTTGCCAGTACAGTATCTTCAATGTCAAAGCTTCATTAGAATACCTCTTGCGTATAAACAGCGAGAACAAGACACCACAAGAGAAATAACACTTAACCGTCGGCGTTTTTTTTGATTACTGGAAATTTTGCCGTTTTTTCCAAGTTTAGGCTATAAAGACTATATTAATAGATGTTCGTCATAGTGTGTTTTTTTTATTGCAGACTTGTTTTGGTAGTTATTATATAATTTCCAGTTTGCAGGACTTTGGTACTTCAGAGGCGAGGTAAACCATCTTTTTACTTGTTAATTCAGGCTTAAACATATAATGTGCTCATTATTGATGGATATAATAATAACTAAAAAAGGATCAAGTAGTATGACTATGAAAGGTCAGCTACGAACAAGTATAACAAAATCTGACAACGTTGTGATCTAGAAATTTCTCTTCCACCCTAATGAACGTCGCTGTGATCTAGCTGGGCACTTGCTAGTTCAAAAGTTCGGGAATTGAGGCCGAATGAACAAGGTTAAAAATTGCCTTAAAATAACCTAATCTTGAAACACATTTCGGGGTCTTGTAGAGCTTTAATTTGGATACTTGGCGACCTCAAAAATTACAATTTTTAACCAAGTGTGTTAACATTGAATATACTCATTTTTAGGGCTTTACATACATAAAATCGCTTATAGCTAAAAAAAGGTCGACTTTCGAGACAAGTAACTAGAGGCGTTTTCGTTCAGATTAATCGATAAAATCTGAAAAAATATCCGGACAGGAAACATTGTGATTTAAAAAAATATTGAAACACATTTGATCTCTTTGCTTCATGAAACAGTCAATAAACGTGATTACGAAAAAACCCAGAAGCAATGGCGGAGCACTGAGTTACATGTAAATAACACATGACACAGTACAAACATACGTAGCAGTAGATGATTCTGATGTTGGATTGGAATTAAATCTACCATCTACATTACCGCATCTTATTGACGAATAACTAATAGATGCTTTGTTGAAAACTCATGGTCTCAATAGAAATTTCAGTACATGTTAAGGAACATTCAATAAACGTAATTACGAGAAAAAGAATACTTTCTCCTCGTCTAATATCCTAGCATCCGTTGAAGAAGGATCACTCACTATCGTGATCAGTTTGGAATAAGGAATTGTAGCTGACAAACAAATTCCCATTTTCCTCAAATTTTCTTCTAAAGCTACAAATAACATTATTAGCCTACTCCACAATCTGGCAATTTCACATTGCTCCCAAGGAAATAGAGAAGTGGTGCACTTTAGCATCAAACTACGAAAGTTTTGACTAGCTTCTATTATATCTCAGCAAGCGATGAAAGTACAAATTTCCGGTGGGCTCTTGGACTATTGCCACTTCTTTACACCTTTGGGAGTAGTGCGACACTGCCAGATTGTGGCTGGCGGGTTTATAAATGCTTGGTAGGCTGATAATGTGTGATAATGATTCCAATTTGATCTTGTCCCATAATTACGTTTGCTGAATGTTCGTTAACACGAAACAAGAGGTAACCTAGATCAACGTTGTTTAAAGATTTTTTAAATTACAATTTTTTTTTTGGCACTAGGACATTGCGTCCCATTAGCCAGATCCAATCTTGTATATGATACATCTCTAATTATTTACAAACACACGACGTAACAACATCCATGGCTTCGAAATGTGATTTCCGAAGGCGAGATTCGAACTCGCGGCCCGGCCGGGCGGCTGATCAGTAGCACGACACTCTGACCCACCCGGCCTACCGAGGTCCCAACACAATTTTTTTTTTAAAATCAAATAAATTTTATTCGGGCTTTTGGATCATCATGAACAAAAAAAATGCATCCAGTAATGTTTATTTAAAGTGTTAGAAGTAACTTAAAAACCCTGAAAATAGGTATATTCAATTCTTGAAAATTTTAAATTTTACTTTTTGATATCGACAAATATCTATATTAAAGTTAAAACCTTACTCTACAATATCCCAAAGAGTACCTTAAGCTTACTTTATTTCGAAGTGGTTTTTAATCTTGTTTGTTAGGCCAAAATGGGCGAACTTTAGATTTTCGAGTTGGTTGGGACGTTGGACGCGACTATTGAAAATATTTCTCTATCATTATGTTCAAGGAAAAATGTGCGGAGAAATCTATGATATGTAAAAAATGTCTAATAGCTTCGTAGAATTACCAGGGCGGGAAGCGTATAATTATACTTATGCCGAAAAATCGAGCACCACCCTCAATTTTGAGCCACCACAAAAAAATTCTGAAACATTGTGTAAAAATTTCATCAAAATGCGAGTGGTACTTTATAAGTTATAGAGGAGTCAAAGATTAACTGGCAGCAATCTAGAAAATTTTATTAAAAATGCGTTTTGTATAAACCTTGCATTAACTATGACGTTGTCATGATGCCGATGTAGTGGATATAAGCTTTATGAAGAAAGTATTACATTCCTTGTTTGCAAGTACTGCATTTGGTTTTGATGGCGTTGAGGCAAAATATGCTGAGGATATTACTATATACTAGCAAATGTTGGAAATCACACCTCAAAAGTTTTTGAATCAGAAAACTCAATATTGCTATACAACAGAACCTTGAACTACCTGAAGTTGTGTTCCAAAGAGCGTACCAAAAGCAACCATATAGCAACTCATTTCGTTATACGACAAAAATTATAGTTTTTGAGATTGATGTGCATAGTTCTGATTGCGTAACTCCTCTAGCTAAATCGCGTTCATGACAATTTAATCTTCGTCCGTATATGTATTCAATATATCGTGCAATTGCTTATTTTATCTGAATAATAAACTCTTTGATTTAAAATTTCGATTATTACATATCTAACTAACCAAAAATGCTAAACATCGTTCATTTGATAGTGAACATATTATTTAAGGTAACTGAATAGAAGAGTGTCAAGTTCAAAACTAGAGCTGTCGCTGCGATTTGAGTGATGTTAGGAAATTATGACAAAAAGCTATTTTCTATTCAACTGCACTTGATTTTAGTAAACCCTAATTTTTTTATATACACAATTCTCCATCATCTGTCATTCTACCTGATCCTTGGCCTTGATGATATTATGCTATATTGCTTGTGTATAAATTTGGATGCACATGAGTGACGTGAGAATATAAAAGTATATTGTTAATTTATTACGTCCATAATTAATAACACTCTATGATTATCATCAACTGCAAAAAACATTATGTAATATTATTTTTGTAGACCATTGCAACTATCGCTACCTTTGGGCTTCATATCATTGCATTTTATAAAGTCGATTTAACGAACTTTGAATAATTTGAAATAATCAAAATTGAGATGCTAAGTAAGTCTGCATACCGCTTCTGTATGATCGGCACATCCAAGCACCTGAAGGTTAACCATTTTATTATTGTAATTATTTTTATGGCTGTTTCTTCCTGTCGTGTCATTTTGAAATCAACCAATGACTTTTAGAAGGTACAAACCCAGAAACAATGGCGAAGCAATGAGTTATATGTAAATAACACATGACAGTAGATGGTTCTGATGTTGGATTGGAATTAAATCTACCATCTACATTACCGCATCCTACTGACGAATAACTAATAGATGCTTTGTTGAAAACTCATGGTGTCAATAGAAATTTCAGTAGATGTATTAAAGAAGAGGCATGCAAAATATACTTCTCTTCCTACATTGGTCCACAGTATCCCATCATTTATACTCCTTGTTTTGGTTTGAGCCAGTACATTTATTGTGAGTATAAGCTACTCTAAATATTTTATATCCTTATTTAATCCGTGCATGTATTTCCTTTAATATACATTAAGAACAAGCCATGTTGTATTGTAACCCTACATACATAATTTCCGCGAATTCAGTACTATCTTAAGTATAAGAAACATGACGAATTTTTAATTGAATATCCATCACTTTTGCACTCATACTATCGGGAGTTGAGTTGCTGTGTTTTATTGGATATGCTATGCTGAAGCATTGTCTGACTATCGCTGCCAATTAACCATACGTCATCACGTTGCATGCGTAAGCAATTTCATTTTATACTTTTTTAATAACAAAATCGACTAGGCATTAGTCATACGAAGGCCATTTAGGATATCATTCCAGGTAATGAGCTGCTTCCTCAAATTCCAGACATAACAGAAAATTCATTAGCTTATTTCATTCACTATGATTATTATATTATAACTTATGGTAGTCTGAATATTAGTCCGGGATACCAAGCACCACGAATTGTCTGTCATAAACTTGCAGACACAGCAAAATAAATAAAAATTATGTTTGTACTAACGGAACAATTTTCGCCTCACCCGAATATCCAAAATTTTATGATGCCGACTGGCATATACGACTAACATATTAAGATGAAAACCTCGTGGTACGTAAAATCCTGGACTATAAGATTAATAGCTGATTTCCAATAATATGCAAAACGTGATGTGTAGGTTTTTCCCATTAACTGGTGTGCTTCCATTATTTTACAGCTGTTCATCGAACAATTATTAAGATGTTTCGTTGTAGTTGATATTGTCATTTAACTTCACTTGTAAAACAAGCAAGAAATATCGTCACTTGTATGATTTTGCACCTAGAAAAAATGTCGACAAACATGTAAGTTACTATCACGGATTTGATTGGTAATCAAGTAATTATTACGTTTCTGCTCATTATTCTCCAATATCTGAGATGTTGTTTATTGTATTGCGTAGTTTTAGTGCATACTTTTGACTCATTTGTCTACTAAAGTTACAGCGTTGCATCAACATAATAAAAATAGTTACCGGTGGAAACATCTACCTTCTCACTGGCACTTTAAAAAGGGACTACTAGATACACGAATGGCAGAACTGTAAAAAAATGACTTATGTCAAGTGACTTTGAACTTCACTTCAGATTTTGAGAATTTGGGACAAATAAATCATTGACTAGCTCCTTCTACCTAGTTTGAATTCGTTGGGTCTAACGAAAGAGAACATTTGCTGTATGCAGGTGTTTCATAAGCCTATTTCAAAAACTCATTCAAGGGAAACGCTAAACTTTAGCTGCAAATTGTCGTTGCCGTCCAGATCGTAGGTTTTAAAACCGTTAAAATTTTTCCTTCAGATACGTTAGATTAGAATAAATTGCAACAAAATTGAACGGACGTTTGTTCAGATTTCCACAAAAACGTTTTACTATTAAAACCTATATTTATTTTGGCAGACAAAAAGTTAATCCGTCAAAAAGCTGTTTGGCCTTCAGGAAACCATTAGTACTCTGAAATGACTACTGACATTTCAAACCTATTCACTTTTAACTCCTCCTCACCAAATAATTTTAATCCAGTGAATTGACAACCTGTTAGTACTTACGTAGGATAGCCGTGGCCCATCCAACACACCCTAACACAAGCAGGGCCTTAACGGTAATCTTGTAAACTGACATCTCGCACCCCCGAAAGCTGCAGAACTACCTTAATCACCACACCAAACCCACGCTAATGCGGGAAACACAGCGAGCTATGCCTTACTTATAAGGATGATGCGCGCCAAGCCGCTGTTGCCTTGAAACCGGACGATTAATGTTCTTTTGTCTTAAGCCGCGTACAGACCGAAAATCAAACGCCGAGCAAACAAATGCAAGCAGATGTGACGTTGGCGTTTGTTGTTGGAAGGTATTGGAATAGGCTCGTCTACACCCAAATTTAGTTTCGCGTTGGGTTTAAGTTCGGTGCTAATGTCGAGCGTCGAGTCTCCTCTTATCGAATGCAGACAGACGACTAAACACTAGAAGCGCAACAAATCCTGTCCATATTATATGTTACCAAGTTACGGTTGAAGAAAAAATGCACAATAAAATGCACAAAAACGCATTTTTGAAAAAAAATGATAACATTGCTTTTTTGGTCATCACTAGATACACAATGAAATAATCAGATGAAAGGGATTTAGAATACTGCTCCAAACACGCTGTTTGAAAAAAAGACATTCGACCTTAAGAGTACTCTGTATATATTCCACCACGATGAAACCAAACTATTGATCGCTTCGAATAAGTGAGCACATAGAACGTTCCATTAAGGTGCTTGACTTGACTCAAATAACGCCATGTCCATAATAACGCCAGAAGCCATCATTCAGAAATCTACTGATGCAATTCAAAAACTATATTATATAGTTTGGTGGCTTTATATCCAGAAAAGCAATGGAACATAAAAAACTTCTTCCTGAGTGCAACAATTGTCGCCACATGCATTGCCATCATTTAACAACAACAACGATTTTGGCGGTAAAGGTTTTGTTGCAAGAATTTTGTTGTTTAATCATTGTGTAAATTATATTTGTTGTTATTCAAGTCATTTTGGGTAAGTTCATTTTGGATCTAGTTTATACTTTGAATCAAAACGTAAGCAGTTTTTGTAAAATCGGCAATATAAATTTTAGGTAAAGTGCACCTAATAACGCCAGCCGAGAATCTTACGATGGCGATAAATTAAAAAAAAAACTGTAAAGTGAGACCCAAGATGTTATGGGAGCCAGTGAAATTTATCAAAAGAATGGAAGGGAAATATATTTTTTATGTTTGCTCAGTTCTTTAAAACAAGTTGATTACTTTAAAAAAAATCTTGATAGAAAGGAAAATGAGTCACAAAACATTAAGGTTGGCATCAAGATGAATCCGAAAGGAGCGAATAAAATTCGTGAAGAAAATAGGAGAAAATTTGCGTCAATGTGTCATGTAAGCGTTATGTTCACGAAGAGTGTGTAGGCTTATCGAAAAATGATAAAATTTCATTTGTTTGTATTGATTGTGAGTCTCAATAAACTTTAAATGAAAGCCTACGTTAATACTCATTATTTTCTATTTTTACGTAATCAGTTTTATATATTTTTTATATAGTAGTAGTAGTATACGCTTATTTTTCCCCAAGATACAATGTGTTAATAAATACAAATGCTAACTTCAGTACAATAATAAACGTAAAATAAAACATAATACCTGACTTTCACAAAATAATCTTAAGTTAACATGTTTTATAAGTCACAGAAAATTTTAAATTGTCTTGTGAAGCCCATTGAAACCAAAATAGTTCGTTGTGCACGGGCAGATTTTTTTTTGATATAATTTTGATAATAAATTTTGCTTAGAGCAGGATTTTATACAACAAGCACATTGTAAGTATGGAAAGTAAGGAGGAATAGCACTTATACAGGGTGACTTTGAAGTTGAGTCATTAATTTTCAGATAATGATTGTAGAAGGAAGATAAACCAGAATATATGTGTAAAAATAATGAAAAAATAAAAAAAAAATTTTACCTTGTTTTATAAAGTATCCTCCCGACAAGTATTTCAGTGCGGACCTGTATTTGATCGTGAGGTCCCCTGTGAGGTCTTAAGTCACCTGATTCACGAGCCCGTTGTACTACATTAACAAAGGCACGAGGGGTTGGTTGCACTCGATTGGGAAACCGATCCGCATAAACATGTGCCATTTTTTATTTCGTTTGAGCCACGCAACAGACACTATTCACACGCTAACCGACAGACACTGACTGTGACTGTATGTATAACAGAACTGAATAAAATACTTAATTGCAAAAACATCGTTCCAAATTCTTTCGCTTTTTTGTTTCCGATGCGATGAACCGATAAGGTGGATTATATCCGTTGTTGCCAAACACGAGTACATGATATTATTATTGAGACAGGGCGGTACTCAAACTTCCAAAGGGCTATAACTTTGTTACTTTAATTTTACCAGAAAAATGGTAAAGGAAAAAAACATTTCTTTTGATCAGATCTACTCACTGTTAAAATAAATGACTCAACTTCGAAGTCACCCTGTATAATAAAGTTTATTCCACTAACTACAGAAATATGGAGGGTATAAAATCATAGTTGGCGTTATTTGGGACAAGGTGTTCCTAAACGCGCCAATTGCACTGTAAATAAAAAGAACGAAAATCTGTTTGCTTGAATTGTTATAAGAAAAGATGGTACTATATTTTTTATTCTGATATATGCAGAGATAATAATTACCAAAATTCATGAAATTTTAAAGGTTATTTATGAAGCTATGCAAAATCAAACGTTAATATGGCGTTATTTGCGTCAAGTACCTTATTTGGTAGAAATTCAGCAAAGTAACCTTTGGTGCTTGGACGTTTCCATAAGCTGTGTGTGACAGTACCTGCTGATCCCACAAGCTAAGTTATATTTTTGACTATCATTCCATCGCCGATGAATAGACCAGCAGGACGCATCAGGGTTAGAATACCGAACTTTAAGGCGGCTCCGACGCAGTGAGTTTCAAGCCATTTACAAGGCTTCAGCTGCTTCGAAACTGACACTCTATTTTTCAATATTTTTGAATGAAATTCATAGAGTATGTTGAGAAGATAATTGCCCAGGGTGCTATAGGAGCACTTTTTGAAATTCTGTTTTTGGACAAGTTTTATTATGGGTTGAAGTGCGCATTTGTTTTGTTCTACTTCGCGATTTTTTAAATAGAACCTAGTGAAAAAATGAAAAAGTGGCTCTATAGCACCCAGTGGGGTTTTGTTTTCAACACACTGAGAACATTTAATCCGGAAATATCAAAAAATAAAGCGTCAATTTCGAAGCGCGCAAACCTATACATATCGTATTTTGGACGAATTTTGTCTACTGTTTCGTGCTGCCAACCCAAGCGTTGCGGCGCAATGTACGCACTAAGAAAGAACGTATTCAGATAATTTGGTGGCCCTATTTCATATAATATCGCGTAGATAACTCGTTCTGCAAATAGGTTTTCATAATCGCGATCGCTGATGCTCCTCGATTTCAAAGCCGTTTTACTTTCCACGCCATTGGCGAGGAAGTATTGTAATCGCGAAAAATTTCTAAAATAAGATGTTATGTTTTTTTAAGTCATATGACATCTACATCGCGAAAAACTGTATCACTCATCATCAACTTGGAAATTACCGCTCGGATTTTTATGAAATTTCCACACGGGGTTACTAGTATGCCAAAGCTTTGTAGTTTTAGTCCAGTGGACAACGGTGCTATAGGCAAAAAAGAAAAAGTAACAATTGCTGAAACTCCGTTTTTGACGTTTCAGGGGTTCCTAATCATTGACATAAAAAATTGTACTGCTTAAAAAGGGTTGGTTGAAATCAGTGAAACACGTTCTATTATTATGAAGCTTCTGATCCCAGTGATTACAGGAAATTTAAGTAACGAAAATCCGACGAATAATGTGCTCACGATTTGAAAAAATCGGTACCTGCTCTATAGGTTTGACACCAAGAGCCAACAGATCTGCAACTACCGACAGTAGGGAAGAATAAATTCGGATATCGTTAAGTATAGGGGAATTTAGCGTGGAACTTTAAAATTATCGATATATCAAGGAAATATGTTTTTGAGAATGATAATTTGGTAGATTTTATACCTGCATTTTCATTTGAATTTCATGATCTGTGAAATGGACCTATTTCGCCGTTACCTTTAATTTGTGTTCTGCAGTTTGTGATGTTTTTCTGGATATAAGCAGGACATAATTGCCTAGGGTGCTATCAGAGCTTTTTACAAAATTTTGTCTTTGCGCAAGAATTATGGTAGGTTGAAATGCTTACTATTTGTGCTCAACTTCTTGATATATTAAAAAGATCCTAGTGGATAAAAACGAAAAAGTGGATCTCTGGCACCCCGTGGACTTTGTTTTTAGCACGCTGCAAGGGTTTCATTTGGAAATAATAAAAATGGAACGGAGGATGTGAAGTGGAAATCGGTTTTTGGGCGAAATTCATCAACTGTTTCGTCCTGCCCGTCAAAGAACAAATGTAATAATTTTATATCTTTCCTAAAATAACTCAAATTCAAATTAGTTTATTCATGTCAATAAACACAATTATGTTTACAAGGGTCATGTGGTAGATGGTAACAATTGAACGAGGGTCATAAAAATATCTTATGCCGTCAAAATAAGAGGAAACAGTTAGGTAGTTTTTGCAAAGCAATAAACAGGTAGGCTTATACCTGAATTAAGTACATGTCTTGTCTACTGTAATAGGTAGATGGAGGTGATGCGGCAAGAAATGCATGTGTGCGATCAATAAACAAACCACAAGATTGAACTGCCGTGTCCCATGATTTTTGTATTGCCTTTTTTTATTGTCTTACTAGAAAACTCTGATGAGAATATGATGGTGTTAACTAGAACATTACAGCTTACTGTCTGCCTTCTTCTACAAACTTCACCAAATCGAGACGAATGAAGACGCCACAAAGTACAGTCCTGTGATTTGGTGACTTGTTCGATCTGCAAAATCTCGTCGTCACTTTTTCTAAGCTTCCCTAAAAATTCTTGCTTAGCAACCTCCAAATCAATGTCGTTCATGTCAACTTTTGACAGAATTCGCCATAAAAATTTCCTTTTCTTTGGAATTGCTATCCGAATTGTTAGTTATTTTTATATCAGCTTTTTTGGTCTGAGTTTCTTTTCAAGATTCTTGCGTTTGAGTCTTTGTTCCATCTTAGTGATATGCCAGGCTGGACTAAGCTTAGAACGCAAATTTATTTGGACCACATAGACAGGCCGCTCGGTATTGTGGCTCACTATAGCATCTTCCATGGTGTGACCTATTCTTGCAATAATTTATTCGCTTACCCCAATGTATTTTGCGATTATAGAGTTGTACTGCTCTCCACACTATTGTTGTCCTCATCATGAATTAAATTCACTGCATTCGTAATTAAAATTGTCGCATATGACCTTTTATTG